TGGAATCTACCATTTCTTGGGCGCATTCAATGAACGAACGTTCCCGGGGTAAGCCATCTTTCTTCCAAGTTTCCTTCGCAAATTGCACCTTCAGTATGGTGGACAAGAAGGCCATCTTCGCTTCGACCTCCGGAGCTCCAGCTGTCTCCCGCATCTTCTCGGTGATCCGGTTGTAGTGAGCTACTAGTGTTGCCGCATACTGTCCGTTGGACTGCCATGAAGACTTCACCTCATGGAACATCTGATAGATGTCTTCTTCCGTAGTCCATCTGCCACCGCTGTAGGCCTTCTTCAGTCTCTCCTTGACCATTTCCCACGGCGTCTCTTCATCTGCCTGGATGTGGTTCAGTATGCTCCGTTTTACCCTGCACACAAGGGCCGCCTTAAGGGCCTCCGCATCCCCAGCGTTGACGAAATTCTCATCAATCTTTGCGTTAATTCTAGCCACGAGCCGATCTCCACCCTTTAAAAAATTATTGAGCTCACCTATTTCTCCAGTGAAGCGCTCGAGATCGGATATAGCCTCCCTGAGGTCCTGTGAAGTGGCTACCCGGATTTTCATCCACTCTATCGCATTCGCATGCGCCGCGGCAAAGGTTCCCTGCGGTAACGGAGGGATCTCTGGCACATTCATGGGAGCCGGCTGCCCTAAGGCAAATTCAGGCATGCTCGTAACGGTTCTCCTCTGGTTTTAAAAAAAACGTACCTCTGCACTCTCACCTTCCCGGGTTTCGGCACCAGTTAAACGTTGCGGGCTTTAAACACTTAAAAAAAAGAGTAAAGGTTCAACAAATAACACGCATGAAGTCAGAAACAAGACTCCTTTATTCCTCCTTATAATCCTCTATATATACATTCTAATTTGTTTACATAAATGCTTTTGGTATTAAAGCTAATACTGTCCCGCTCCATACCTTAACTTATATATATATATATATATATATATATATATATATATATATATATATATATAGAATAGAATAGAATAGAAAAATAATTTTATTCTGGGACGAAGTCCCTTCAGAATAACAAAAAAGTACAGAAATTAAAATTTTACATCTGGCCAGATAAAAACAAACATAACAAATTAAGATAATGATAGGTCATTAAAGAAAAGAAAAGAAAAAAATATTGGTTATACATACTATATACAAAATAAAATAAAAAAATCTATATAAAAAACTCTTGAAACCATACTAAGATACTTAAAACTATGTACGATGTTAAAATATAAATAAACCCTTTTAGAAAAAATAAAAAATACAGAAAAAATAAATGTATATTCTTCTTAACAGTAAAATCTGTTTCTGTTGAAAAAGAAAAAAAAAAAAAAAAAGAAAAAGAAAGTCGAATCTATAATAAGTATTCAGGTCATGAGCTATATGTGAATATGGTCTTATAGATAATGTGTAATTTTACATAAAAGATTAGCTGGTGCCTGACTGTTTTTGGGACAGGAATTGGAATAGGAGGGTTTTGAATGTAGATAAGGATGAAGAATGTCGAATTTTGATTGGAAGGGAATTCCAGAAACTAACAGAACGTGCAATAAAGGAGTTTTGGAACGAGGCAGATCTGTGAGAAGGAATGTAAAGGTCGGAAGGTCGAGATCTTGTGGAGAGGGAGTGGACTGAGGACTTGAATTGGAGAAGGTTGTAGGCGTAGGAAGGACGATGATTGTTGATGATATGATAGAGGAATGTACCTAGGAAATATTGTCTTCGAATGGAGGGAAGAGCCACTCTAACTCAGTGTAATGGTGAGAGACATGGTAGTATCTCGGGGCACCAATTACAAATCTCACGCAACTGTTCATTATTCTTTTCAGTCTGTCGCGGAGCTCCACCGAGAGTCCATCATACACCACACAGCAGTAGTCAAAGTGGGGGAAGATGAGAGAGGAAACGAGGAGTCTGCGCGTATGTTGAGGTAGGAGATGGTGGAAGCAATGGAATTGTTTGAGGGTAGAGACTGTCCGTCGGGAGATGTGAGAAATATGGTGACTCCAGGAGAGGGTTTGATCAATAAATAGTCCTAAATTTTTTACAGAGGAGTAGAAGGAGATTGGCTGGTCACCAAGGTTTAGTATGGGAAAGTCCGTATAGGATCTAAGGAGGGGCTTGGAACCAATGACAATGGCCTGAGTTTTTGAAGCATTTAACCTTAATCCGTTTAATTTTGCCCAGGCACAGATTCGATCTAGGTCTGCTTGGATCTTAGTAAATGCTACCAATAGCTCAGGGGGAGAAAAGGATAGGTATATTTGAGAATCGTCTGCATAAAGGTGGTGGGAACAATGGAGAATTGAGTCATGGAGGTCATTGATATAGGAACTAAAAGGAGAGGAGATATGCTAGATCCTTGGGCAACTCCAGAGGATAAAGGCAGGTAGGCAGATAGTGGTTGATTAGGAATGGAGACTGCTTGGGTGCATTGTGATAGGAAAGATTGGAACCAAGAGGTGGAGCTATTGGAGAAGGAGAGTGATTTTAGTTTGTTGAAAAGGATGGGATGGTTAATGGAATCAAAGGCTTTAGAGAAGTCAAGAAGTATAAGGACAGTTAGTTGTTTATTATCTATTGCAGTCTGAACATCATTAGTAATTTTGATTAAGGCGGATTGTGTGGAGTAGCCGGGACGGAAACCAGATTGGAGAGGATCGAGTTGGTTAGACTTTTCTAGGAAATTGGAAACTTGGGATTGCACCAATCTTTCTAGGGGTTTTGAGAGAATTGAGATTGGGCGAAAGTCTTCGGGAGAGGATGGATTAGGCTTTTTATTTAAAGGGAGTACAATGGCTTTTTTCCAAGAGGAAGGGAATATTGAGTTCTGTAGAGAGAAATTGTAAAAGAAAAGGAGAACTGGGAGGATTTCGGGGAGACATAATTTTATCAATTTGACAGGAATGCCATCTGGTCCTATGGAATTGGTGTGGAATTTCATTACTGCGGTTAGTAAGTCAGTCGGGGAAATGTAGGAGAAATAAAAGTCATCATCATTAAATGATGACTCAGGAGCAAAGTTGGAAGAGGAGGGAAGAGAAGAGGTAGAGGAGGCAGAAATAAAATGTGAATTTAAATCGTCAGGTGAAACGGAAAAGAACAGTGAGGAAGGGGATCTGGAAGGTTCACAGAGGGAAAGTTTGCGAAGGATTAGCCATTTAGATTTGGGATCTGGGGCAGATGACAGGGCTACCATGGAGTCGATGGAGGAGCAGGAATATATTTCGTTCAAGTCTAAGCTTTCAAGGTCAGGTAGTATTTTTTCACGGGTGAGAGTGTCTATCTGACGGAAAGTGAAGGTTCTCGGATGAATCAGAGGGGTTTGGATATTATATGTTATTTGGATCATGTCGTGAGACGATAAGAAGGATACTGGCAGTTGAGAAGAGGAGAGGAGATTTATTTTGGAGTCTATAATGAAGAAATCTAACCAAGTGTCGGCCTTGTGGGTGTGGTGAGTAGGATAAAAAGGAACAAAAAAGAGATGGAGGGAAAAAAATAGGTTTTCTAGATAGGTTTGTCTTTGGAATTAGAAAGGAAATTGGTATTGAGGTCACCGGCGATGATTATTCTAGGATAGAGGGGAACAAAGTTGAGTAGGGTTGATTCTAAGGACGGATCAAATGGAACAAGGGGAGGACGGTAGATCACTATGTAAAGCAGAGGGGAATTATTACAGGTAATTTCTACTAGAAGGTACTCCACTTGTGGATGTTCGGAGGGTGGGGAGTAATCAAGGATTCGGGACTTCAGGCTATCATGGACAAATATGGCCACCCCACCACCAGTCCGGCTGACCCGGTCGTGGCGGATGAGGGTGTAATTAGGTAAGGAGACAGATGAGGACGGAATATAGGGTTTGAGCCAGGTTTCTGAGATTGCGATGATGTGAAAAAAGTTTTGAGAAAAGTACTGCAGGAATTCATCATAATGGACGGGAAGGGATTGCGAGTTAACGTGGCAGGTGGTTAGGATGCTAGACATGGGGAGGATTTGATGGGAAACAGTCAGAAATTAGCATAGAGGAAATGAGGCATATATCATATTCTGAAAAAAAAATATGAAAAGTACTGATAAGCAAAATAAAAGTGAATAATGAAAAAATAAGTGAAAAATAAGAGTGAGAAAATAAACAAATTAGTAAACTGGAGCTGTGAGAAATTTTAACCAAAATCTTCAATGTTATTTGGGACCAATGAAGACAAAAAATACTTTGAAGAACGAGAAGAAGAGATGAAACCTGTGCAGTCAGGCGAAAACTTCTAGATCCGATGCCTGATTAATCAAGATTACTTGATGGCCGTCTTCTTTTCGGCAACGCACAATGCCGGCAGAGAACCATACGTATCTTATCTTCCCGGCAGCTCTCTTCTGCCGGGCTAGCCAGTAGAGGTGCCTGTTTGTTGGGGTCATCTCCTCGCCGAGATAAATTCGGTGGCAGTCGTTTTCCTGCCACCCGATATCACGCGTCGAGAAATCCCTCTTCACTTTCCTTTTCGCTATCAGGTATATATATATATATATATATATATATATATCAATTTGTGATCAGTCATTCTCTTCACTACCTTTAGCCATGCACAGTGTAAAATCCTCTCCATCTAACTCTTTTCTTGTCTATCTAGGATGCAACTGACCTAGGCAAAATCCTGCTTATCTGTCTTCCAGATAGTCCTCTGTTTTGTGATACAGACTTCTTCCTATGATTATCTTTTCAATTTGCAGTCCAACTGATCATTGTTTTAAAAGCTTTATTGAACAAAAAAAAATAAATAAATAAAAACGGTTTTTATGCATTATCTTACTAAGTTTTGTTGATCTGAGTTGAACATCTCTTTAGTGGAGACTCAATAATATCAATGGATAAAATAAATAAATGTTACATATGGTAGTGAACCACTTTGCGGAGAGACTTAGTGTTAATCAAAAAGCCATAAATCTTTATTTTTTTTACAATTAAATTTTTAATTATTGTTTTTAAAATATATTTTATTTTAGGTGTAATTTCAAATTTATTTACGAGAGATGAACAATCTGAAATAATGTCCGAATTATCTCCAACAATGAGACGTGAAAATCCTAAAAGAACGCTAACTACAGAAATTGTAATGGAATACTTTATTCAAAGAACAGTTCAAAATCTTCATGTTGCTTTCTGTTTTTCACCAGTTAGTATTAGAGACACTAAATCAATGTATCGTTTTGTTTTCATTTTCACATTTTATTTTTATTTACAGGTGGGAGAGAAGTTCAGATATAGAGCTATGCGTTTTCCTGCACTAGTGTCTGGTTGTACATTAAATTGGTTTCAGCCATGGCCAAGAGATGCCCTTGTTTCAGTAGCCAGTCATTTTCTAGTTGATTTCAGCATAGATTGTACTACTGAAATTAAGAATGAATTGGTTGATGCATTGGGATATATCCAAGATATTGTTTCCACAACATCTTCAGAATATTTTCAAAGGTTATCTTTTTACATGTATTTATTATTTTACAATTAAAATCAATAAAATCATATAGGACAAAAAGCTTCCTTACATTCTCAGTCTGTTCACTCTATGCTCCTTCGTCCACTGTTTTTTTTTTTTCTTTCTCTTACTTCACCTTTTGGCTATGAAGGGTTTTTCCTGGACCAGAGGAGAGGGCTGGGAATTATTGCTAGAGTTAAAAGCTCCTGACATCAGGATCAGAACTCATAGTCTTCAGTTTTTCAGGTTGTTGAGAAATACTTATCTTGCAAACACTTGGACCAGCTCAGCCACACCCCGTCCTCTTTCCAATCCATGAACTTGTACATTTTTTCTCATAGAACTACATCCTTCATAAAATCTTCTTTTATCATTCATGCTACCTCTTTTTGGAATAACTTATCCATCTCCCTTTATAAAATCTCATCATTAATTTCATTTAAATATCAATTAGTTCTCCATCACCTCAATTATCAATCTCGCATATGTATGTTAGAACATTTATTTTTTTTGTCTTTTCTTCTTTTTTTTTCATATATTCATATTATTACAAATTAAAAAAAAATATAATAGAAAAAACTATTTTATTGCTATTTCATTGCAATTATTTTCATCATTTATTGATGCAAACATGTAATTAAATATATATATGTGCGTGTGTGTGGGTGAATCAAATATAAATGGAATTTTGTTCCTGAGTATCTACAGTTGGTAGGACCTATGATTCTGCTATGCTTGGGTGAGGCTATTAGGAGTGGAGGAGGTCCCACTTCCAACCACTTTTTCAGTAATCCTCACTTTTATGGAATAACAGATGTATCCCTCCTCTGATCAACACATAATTAATAAATTTCTTGCTCATGAAGGAGTTCAAGTGATAACAATTTTTCAGAGATTGACAGCACAGTTCTGTAATCAAACATTGTCAAAAACGCATGTGTTTGCCTGTCATAAAGAGTTCAAGGAAGGACAATAACATGTGAAAATCAGCAACAAGATTGCCTAAAAAATTTGGGTGGTTTGAAACATTCTTGAATAAGATCGATGGGTGGAGTGTTACAAATTTTAAAAAAGATCGGTGTAAGTTATAGGAGCTGTCAAGCGACCATTACAAGTGATCTAAAGTTCTGTAAAGTGTGTGCCAGATAGAGGGGGCGGGGTGACCAAGCGGGCTAACACCTGTGCACAGCACAGCCTTTGCGCAGCAACCTGATCAATGATAAAAATTGATAGAATAAATACGATTTCACATCTGGTGCCCAGGGGATTTTAACTTTGGCATCAATCCATGACCCTTATTCCCTGGTCTGGAAAAACCCTTGTATAGCCTAAAAGGTGAGGAAGAGGAGGACCAAAAAAAAAAAAAACTGTTTGCCAGATAGGTCCCTTACCTTTTGACCAAAAATTAGAAGTTGCAACATTTGAAGGTCTGTCAGAGGTTAGCAGCAATAAGGTGATGCATTTCTGAGTTAAATTGTCTGTAATTAAATGTGGGTCCACCACTACACTTCTAAATCTGAATGAGCAGTTAGGAGTGATGGAGAAAAGTCCAGAGAAAGTCCAGATTCGACCATTAACTGGCATGGTTCTTTCAACCTTCAACCATTTATTTACTTATGCTTATTTTTTATTTTGTAATTTAATTTCTTAATTTTATGGCTCATTCGATTCACAAGTATTATCTGTAGCCAGCCAAATTTCTCTGGAATGTTTAGAACATAAAATAAAATTTATTTGAAGTGTTTTCTTCACAGGAAAAAAAGTAGTAAATGAAAGCAAAGTAAATAAAAGTTTTACATTATTTTGATCAATTAAAAAAATCATGAAGTTTTTATTATTAATTATCGTCAGGTTTCTGGATTTTCTATCTTTATTTATTTTATATTTTGATTAGAGTAATGGCAACTGGATTTATTTACTGAATTAATAACACTATGTTTTAGATTCCGAAGATCAACACATGTAACCCCAAAATCATACTTAAATTTCATAAGTTCCTATAAAAAAATATATGTTGAGAAACAGAAGGAATTGGGTGAAGGAGCATTAAGAATGGATACTGGTTTAGCCAAACTGGATGAAGCTTCAGAATGTGTTGCAGTTTTAAAAACAGAATTGGCTGATATGGAACGAGAGTTAGCTATTGCTTCAAAAAAAGCTGAAGATGTTCTCCTAGAAGTAACTGATAGAGCAAACCAAGCTGAAGAAGTGAAAAATCAGGTAGGTAGCTTGATCTTTCTTAAACTATAAGGTTCTTTCCATACCCTAGGGAGTGAGGGCTTTTTGACTAGGAATCGTCTAGCGCCTCTTCCATTGCATACAGGTCAACCAATTGCTGATGGGGGTGTATTTCAAGCACGTGTGCCCACTCACATTTTTTATCTTGTGTTGATCTTAACCAACTTTAAAGGACAACCTCAACAACAAAGGGAGGAGGGCCACTGTAGTTTGAGTGATTCTTTCTCACTTGTATTAATGTTATTAATATTAATTATTAGTTTAATCTATTATAATTCATTAATTAATATGATATAATGATTAACATAAATTAATATAATATAATGTTTCCGGAATTAATTTATAAGTTATGGATTCATCCAATCATTTAGACCAGGCTGTAATTACTGTGCACTTACGGCACCAATATCTACTAGGCTATCAGAAATATATAAGATTTTTATTTCAAGGTGATGGTAGTTAAAGAAAAAGCTGAAATCTTGGTTCAAACCATTGCTAAAGAGAAAAAAACTGCTGAAAGAAAACTGGAAGCAGCTAAACCAGCATTGGAAGAGGCTGAAGCTGCTTTGAACACCATAAAGCCTGCACATATTGGTACTGAATATTTAATTTGAACATACATGGTTAATTATGAATATTTTAAATTTAAGATAGACATTACATCTAATTAAAATATATTATTAATATTTGGATTAAAAGGAATTATTGACACATTACTCTGAGTACATATACTCCGATAATGGCAATGTTCATCTCTTATAAGTTATTTCCAAAAGTCTGCAGAAACAAGAGTGTATAAATCCTTTAAGCTCTTCTAAATTATTTCACTGTCACAATTAAAAACATCTCAATTCATAATTTCATTGTTTTTTAAACCAGATTCAATTTCTTTTCTTATATATCTAGATTAATATAATTAAGTACGTATATAGAAAGACCACGTGTAAGGCCAAAAAGCAGATGTATAGATAAAATCAACAAAGACTCAACAGAGCTGGGTGCAGATGAATGGAAAGAAATAACCCAAGACAGGCAGAGATGGAACAGGCTTGTTAGGGCGGCAAAAGATCTATATGGTCTGTAATGCCAATAGAAAAAAAATAAAATAATATATAGATAGATAGAAAAAAAAACTTATTTCTAGGACTAAGTCCCTTCAGAATATTTAGAATAACAATAATGTACAAAATAATAGAATATTACTATATATATATATATATATATATATATATATATATATATATATATATATATATATATATATATATATATATATAGAAAGATTATAATTAAATTTGTTCCAGTTGTCAAAAAAAAAAAAAATATGTTGTCATCTGAAGTTTAACTAATAAAAATCATTAAGCTAATGAAATTACATAATTTATTTATGATTACAAGATTTCTCTAATTGTGTGCATGCGTATAAAAAAATAAGGAAACATTTTTCTACAACAGCTGAGCAGTGTTACCAGATAAGATGCATTAACTCAACAAATCATCCTTTTCTTATTTTAAGATTATATCCAAATATGATTTCCACTGCATATTTAGTGCAACTGGTATTGTTATCGGATATAATTTCTATATCAGCTGGTGTATGAAATGTACAAGTTATTACAGTTTAAGACTCATGTATAATCAAGGTTTATATTTGAAGAATTAGTAAAAAAGATAAACTCAATTACAGGACTTTGGATTTGATTTGTATCTCCAATATTCTTCTTAAAAATAAATGATTTTGAGGAAATTGGGCAATATTTCCTTTTAATCTATAATTTTTTATATCATCATAAACATTATTGGAATTTGATCATACTGATGGTTTATTAATTAATGTGATAAACTAATTGCTATTATTTATAACTTTAAAATTTATTAAGCCACTGTGAGGAAACTTGGCAGACCTCCACATTTGATTATGAGGATCATGGATTGTGTGTTGATTCTTTTCCAACGAAAGTTGCATCCGGTTATTCCTGATAATGGAGCACCTTGCCCCAAACCTTCTTGGGCTGAATCCTTAAAGGTAACAGTTTTTTTTCATTTTTTCATGTTTCTAATTTTTACCTTAATACTACTATTACTAATAATAAACTTATGCATTATATCAAATGTCACAGGAAGGGAAAGAGTGAATTTTAAATTCACTTCATTTCATACAATATTTTATCAAATCAAGAATAATTGGACTAGGAGCAGTAACTTCTCGATCATTAAATAGTGTAAAAATTATATTTTGTCTTTTAATAGTTTATTTTATGTTCTTACTGGGGTTTATCAATACAATAAAACTATGATCAGGGGTAGAGCACTTCATTACATTTATAGTATTAATACTATGTACATCGCATATGACCTGCATGCTTGCCCAAGCCACACTCTCCTGGCGTCCCCCACCAAAAACAGTGTTGCCATAATCCACTTTCCAAACACATATAATAATAGTAGATAGTCCACAACACCCCTCCCTCCTAAGGAGAGAAACAATACACCCCACATATGTCTCCTCAGATGGTTACTACCCTGAGGTAGGCTCCTTAGCATTTGTCAGATATAGACTGTATACACACAAATTATCAGAAACAAAGCTACTATTACTACTTTACATACGTATGAAACATTATGGTGAATACAACACAATACAAATGAACAAACATGGCAAATCAAATACACAATACAAATCAAAAGTCATATTATATACAATTGTTATTATAAAAAAATGTCCACATGTACAGTTTCTATGGAAAACCCTTTGCCAAAACAGTGCTGCCATATTCCACTTTCCAAATACATATAATAATAGTGGATGGCCCATAACACCTTTCCTTCTAAGAAGAGAAACAACAATATAATTATAAATGTCTGCTCAGACAGTTATTTAATCCAATCAAAATCAAGAATTTACTGTGAGGTCCATTATCTTCTGTTCATAAAATTTATAATTCCTAAGATAGAATCCTAATCTTATCTACCAACAACCTAATTATACTATTTACAAGGATGTGTACACAATATATTTACAAGTTATCAAGTTCGGGTTACCTAACTATGTTTTCACCACGATCCTCTAGCTTGTCAATGGAAGCTAATTTAAAATCATTTTTTATTCTCTCCTAACCTGCCTGGTGCTTGATACTAACACTTATCACTAATCTTCACACCCCCGATCCCATCCTCATCGCCATTTTTATGTTCTTACTGGGGTTCATCAATACAATAAAACTATGATCAGGGGTAGAGCACTTGATTACATATAAAATATTCACACTATGTACATCACATATAACTTGCCCAAGCCACATTCCCCTGGCGTCCCTCCGCCAAAAATAGTGTTACCATAATCCACTTTTCAAACACACATAATAATAGTGAATAGTCCACAACAGTTTATTTTGATGAACAACTTTTTTAAATATATTGCTGAAGGCATGGTATTTATAGCTCAGTAAGTTAGGCACTTCTGCTCCTGGGTTTAAATATGGCTGTAGTAGGTAACATAATTATTTATTATGTTAAATTAATCATGGATCAATTCAGCTATCGAGAGACCTTCCTCCATCGCATCCAATCTCACTATTCAAGGAAAACCACTTGTTTTATTGCATCCAGACATCTTCTCAGCTCCAAATATTTACTTTTTACTTAGTTCACCTCAATCCCATGTTTCCTTGCAAGACCACCAGTGCTAGAACTACTTCTTTGACAGCCTGTTTAGAGAAATCAATGATGTTGACACCATTCGCATAAGCCGATATAGTTGTACTCTCTGACTGAATATTGTCTGCCCAACTCTCTCACGACCTTCTCTAGGGCAATATTGAATAAGAGACATGCGAGTGCATCATCAGTCCTGGTCCCTTCTTCTTAGAATTCTTCAGACAGATCTCCACTACACCAAGTACACTGAACACAATTCCAGAGTACACTGTAAACAACACCTTATCTATGGCTATTCTTCCATTGCTAGATAGAGCTCTTTACGATTAATGCTGTCATAAATGACCTTGAAAGCAATATATGTCTCTAAGGCTAAAGATTTAGTACATAGTTGTTTTGCCTCATCGTAATCCACATTGGTAGGACTTACTGCACTATTGGCCAAGAGGAGGAGATGTGTGAATAAGAGATTTGAGAGAACTTTTGTATTGAAGAGTCAATAAGGATATGCCTCAGTAATTAATACCTGGTAGGTGATTATCCTGCTTGTGAACAGGGTAGATGATTGACTTTTTCTGTACTGAGGGTATTGCTTCATTCTCCCACAATGACATAAAATGGTCCTGAAGTGCCTTCACCAGTTTGTTGTCTCCACGTTGCAAGAGTTCCGCAGGAAGCCCCATGTTGCACCTTGGGGTTTTTTGGTTCTTCAGGCATAGGCTTGATCCATGAGTTTCTAAATTAAAAAATATGTGATATTAAAAAGCTAAAAGATGGTGACATTCAGAACTAGAGATCAGACTATTGACTAGGAAAAATGAAAATTTAGTTATTGATTCTGAATGGGATTCCTGCTTTGAAGAACTAGAAAAAGATCAAATAGTTGGACCTCCACAGAAAGAAATAAGATCCCTGGGGTTGATTTATAGTGCAAAACTCCCAGATGGATATATGGAGCAAGACAGTAGAGCTAAGAATAACAAAAAACCTAAAAGTCCAAAGCAAATTAACTACACCTATAAGAAAGTTGAACTCTTTAATGATGACAAAGCTATCCTAGATGAATGGAGGTGAAACTTTACAGATCTTTTTGAAGGCATAGAAGAGGTGGTGCAGGTTGACCTGATCACACAGTCTAATCTTGAACTTCCTAGTGAAGAGGAAATCAATGAACCAATCATCTTATTAAAAAAATCACAAAGCACATGGAACTGATGGCTTACCTGCTGAGCTCTTTAAGCAATTGAATTAAGGAAATGAGATCAATAAAGCTACAACTACACACTACAACAAATATTCTCCCTCCAAACAATTCTTGAATGGGGAGAGGAATGTAGCATGAAGACTGTCATAACTCTTCATAGACTTAGAGGCAGCCTATGATAGCATTAATTGTCCAGTATTATGCTAAGTTATGAAAGATCCTGACATTCGAGATTAGCTAATAAAGCTGAATAGCCTCACCATAAGTTGATGATCAAATCAAGACTTTTCCATAAATTAGATGTTAAATGAAATGAAAATATATTTTATTATTCTGGGACTGTTGTCTCTTTAGAACAATTTATAAATACAGAATGCATTTCTGTGTGGTAAAAATAAATTAAAAATTTACAATAAGAGGATTTGAGGAGTAAGGCGATCCGATCAAGATGGCTTTTGTCTTCTTGGCACTCAGAGTGAGCCTGATGAGGTTTGCCCAATATGATTAGAATAAGGGCAGATTGTAGAGGAACTCACGTATTGAATAAAATGAAGAAGATAGATAATTACGATGTATAAACAAATTATTATTTTTTACAAGTTTGGTGATCTTTTAAAGTTTTCTGTTCCATCAATTCCATATTATTACAGATGATGGCGAGCACAACATTCTTACTTCAGCTACAAAACTATCCAAAAGATAATATTACTAGTGAAATGATTGATTTGTTGCAACCCTATTTTGAGATGGAAGACTACAACATGGATACTGCTCAAAGAGTTTGTGGTGATGTTGCTGGTCTGCTTTCTTGGACTAAAGCTATGTCATTTTTTCATAGTGTCAACAAGGAAGTGCTTCCATTGAAGGTAAGTTATTTTTTTCAAAATATGTGGCCCTAATCCCATATCTTAGGTTCCGTTTTGTGTGAAAAATAGATCTAGAAATCCTGTAATCCCTCTCCAGCCACTTCTATCTTCTATCATTCTTATTGTAAAATATAACAATTTTCGTCTACTATAATATAATGTATTTCGTTTGATCCCTACCTAGCTTTAACAAATGATTGATGATTATTATAAATTATTATTTTAAATACAATCTTTACTGAAGCCCTTGTATTTAACACAACTACAGATATAATTGACATTTGAGAAAACATATAATTTTCACAAATAATTTCACTGATAGCTCTTCACAAATAATTTTCTATCTAAGAACTCACCATTGAACTAACTTCAAACAGACTGACCAAATATGAATTAATCACTCTTCTACAACAGTAACATTATTAACACTATTAACTAACTTAAAACTTTTTAACAACTAACTGGATTGGACTAGCAATCAAAGTAAAATTATTATGAAGAGAAGAATAGTTGGGGTGATCAGTCAAATAAGAAGGCAAAAATAAATGATAATATTTATTTTGCATAATGATAATATTATGTCAAAATAAATATTATCATTTATTTTTGTCTTCTTATTTGACTGATCACCCCAACTATTCTTCTCTTCATTATTCACGACAGTCAACCATTTACCGACAATTAAAATTATTATATTTAGTGACCCGAACAGATGACTAACAAAAATTTGTATGTTGATAATTTTTATTTAGTTTTGGATGTTTTATGGATGGCCATGATTATAATGAGTGAAGAGATGGTCCAGCTTGTATTATAGCTTGTTGTTGTAGTCAAAAGTGACTGAATGAACATAGATTTGGCAATTCAAACAGGAATAGAATGCGACAAATATTACAGAAATATGTAAATTTCTTATAGTATATTTCTACTTATATATTGAAATGCTTGTTAATATGTATATTCAATACCTTAAAAAACTTGTATTTACAAATATTGTTGTTTACATTAGGCAAATCTTAAGCTTCAAGAAGCAAGATTGAAATCGGCTATGGATGATTTAGCGGCAGCAGAAGAAGAACTTGCTGCACGAGAAAGGTCATTAGAAGATGTTAAAGCTCAGTACAATGCAGCTGTTTCTGAAAAACAAAGATTAACTGATGCAGCCAACAACTGTCTCCGTAAAATGACAGCAGCAACTGCTCTTATAAATGGTTTGGGAGGGGAAAAGATTCGCTGGACCAGACAGAGCAAAGAATTCAAAGAACAGTTAGGAAGGTAGGCTGGTTTTATAAGAAAGAATTTTATGAGTTATATATTGTTTAATTAGCTATTGTTGATCCTAAATAGCTTTAGAAATATGGATTTTTGAGCATACACTTAAGTTTACTTTTAGTGAGCTCCTTTTATTTGAAATTCTCTCAAGTGAACTATTTGACATTTCTCATGCCTGTATAAACTGATTTTCTGTTAAGATCCTTTTCCACGGTTAAGTTTCTCAAAGTTTTTTGGATGATCTCACTTGACCATGTAAAAGGACCTATAATGTCTTTGATAATCTCTGGTGGTTGAGAGCTACTTAACGACAATTTCTAGGACAAAGCTTTAATCAAGACACTTGACCGTATAAAGCAGCCTACCTACAAAAATATGAAAAATTAATACTGAAAATTCTTCTTTACATAACTGCAGGACTATTATTGTTTGTCAGAAAACAATTTATAAACCCCATCTAAAGAGGTCTATAAAGTCTTTGGTGATCTCCCTTAGTCATTAAAAATCAAAATATTACAATTCTAGCGAAGTTTTGGTATAAAAACATTACCATGTAAAACAGCCTTCTAGAATAAAAATTTTATCAGAAATATGTGTCTAAAATTTTTATTCTAGAAGGCTGTTTTACATGGTAATGTTTTTATACCAAAACTTCGCTAGAATTGTAATATTTTGATTTTTAATGACTAAGGGAGATCACCAAAGACTTTATAGACCTCTTTAGATGGGGTTTATAATTTCTGATCAAAAAGTAGATTTTAGTAGATAAAAGAGTAGATTTTTTTTAATATTTAATTTTTTTTTCTGTAGTAACTGTTTCTTACATCAGACATTGATTAATTTTAACTTTTAGGATATCTTTGATATTAGGGTACGTTATTATGTTATAGCAGGTGTAGTTGTAATTGTTTTCGAAAATATTATAAATAAATAAATTTTAAGATTATTCTCTCATGTATCAATTTATTATAGTTTAGTTGGCTCTTACGAATTATTTCGCACAGTATTGTTAAGTGATCAAATGTCAAATTAACATGAAAATAGAGAAATAAGTTCTTATTTTTTCACTAAATATAACCGACAAAAGAAACAAAAATTAATTTAAACTTCAATGATGTTTTGAACCAACATATTTCCAATTTTCAATAAGCTGTATTTTTGCTACCAATTGTCCGATTTTGATGATTTATTTTGTAGGGAATTAAGTAATCTTTTAAATAACTATGGGTGTAATAAACAAAAAATTTTATACTTTTTGAGTTATTCGCAAATAAGGTTTCTTTTCCTTCATAACCTTTTTTCTTGAAAATTCAGGGGGAATGTAACTATTTTTCCCACCTGAAGGAGAAGAAAACCTTAAAAATGATGACTCAATCTTGGGATTTGATGAATAATTAACAAAGATATGGGGTATCGAAAAAAAAAAAACAACTTTGATTAATAATATAAACTTCTTCTTTTTTGGTCTTTGAAGTCGATATGAGACATGTATCCCATATCAGCACTACAATAAACCTGAGGTTTTGTGGCTGCGGATCCTTTGCCTCGAAAATGTTACAATTTTGGTCTTGAATATGCAGGCCTTGATGTTTCCGAAGGAATTATCCGGGTATTGGTGTCCGCTTCAAAATATTCAAATCTCAATTTGTCCCATATCGATCCATCAACTTGCCACTGTTGCAGTATTGAAGGCTAACAAAATGTTGATATTGGCTTTATTTATTTTAGAAAGAAAAATAAAAGTGGAGAGTATGATTCGCTAACTCCCTGAAATTCTTAATCCAATGATCCCCATTCATGACAGGAGCTTATATTTGGTTCAAAACCGATTTCAAACCTTACTGTAATAATATATGTAGGGATTAATTTTAATTCTTTGGATTTCTTCAATTTAGGAGTTCAGTTCGTTATTATGTTGTCGGAGACGGAGTATTAAAAAATATTATCAATTTTCAGATTACTAATTTTTTTCAAATTTCATTGATGTAGGGGTAATTTTTATTATGTTATCAGGGACATAGTTTTTGAAAATTCTATCAATTTTAAAATTACTCTCTCACCTATAAAATAACTACACTATGTTTTTGTCTTTGTAGGCCTTCTTAAAACGTAACCCTTCTATTTACACTGGATGATAGACTCAATATCTCTGATCCTCTTGATTTTCCTGTAACATAACTCGCAAATGTTAAGGTATTATTATATTAATGATTCATGTGAAAGGGAACTGTTTACATTACCTAAAGGTATATGATGGAATTCCCTTTTTCTAAAAAGCTACTGAAAAGTTCTACTAATCGTGGAAGGAAACTGGTGAACCATTGAACTCCTTATTATCGTTGACTGTTCATTGTAACTAAAATCTCTCAAACATTTGTAGTAGACAGCCCCCTGTATTTACTCCTTTATGTGACATTGTGTGAGGGAATGAGAAGGAATATATATTATATAGGAATGTGAGGTAGGTTGCACTGTGAATTGTATTCAATTGTGTAGTGGACAAATTGTTCATTGAAAAGTCACTATTCAAATGCCATGTAATGTTGACATTATAATATATATTCTTATTGTTTCTTCTCACTGAGCATCAAAAAGGTATTAGATTCCCAAATTCCCAACAACAGTTAAACACCCTCAAAAGTCTATATCCAGTGCCGGGGTTTTGTTTTAATAATCACGAGTGTAAATAACCTAATTCCCCAAATAAAGTGGAAGGCTATTTAATATTCCCGCCAAAAAAACATTATTTACAATTAACTCTTAACAGGTTATTTACACATTTTACACTGTGTCTGTCACATATTTTCTTTTACTATGATCCATTCTTTCCCTGTCAACTACATTTCACAAGTCAAAGATTTCTGCTGAATGAAACAATTCTGACAAGAACAGACTAACTCTTTTCACATTTATAAATTATTGACTTGTTAGAAAGAACTTTAGGGCCAAAAACCGGTCTGTTAATTTCCAGTATTGTTTGTTCATGGAAAATGAGTTAGATAACTAGCCCCATAATTTAAATGAGGCTCCTTAATTTCAAAAATTCTTGTTCAGAAAAGATTTAACAACACTTTTGTTGCAATTATTAATTTATTTTTTTTAAATCTATAGTTTTCTAGTCTTTCCCCTAGAACAACCATTCATTATGCAGACCTCGTTATTATATATTTTTTAGGCTTGTTGGTGATGTTCTGTTAGCTACTGCATTTTTATCTTACTGCGGCCCATATAATCAGCAATTTCGTTCTCATTTAATTGCAAAGTGGATGGATATCTTAGTACAACGTAAAATCCCAGTCACTAAAAATTTACATATTATTAATATGTTGGTTGAATCAGCTACTGTAAGTATTTGATAAACATTCTAATATTTTATATTGTAATATTTGACAAGCCTTATATTCAAGTCTTCTTCCAGATATCAGAATGGACATTACAAGGACTACCTAATGATGAACTGTCTGTTCAAAATGCCCTCATAGTGACAAAATCAAGCTCATACCCTCTCCTTATAGATCCGCAAACTCAGGCTAAAATGTGGATAAAAAATAAAGAAGCCAATAATGAACTTCAGGTGAATTTTATTTTCACTATTTATAAGGCCTATTATTCTTTTTTCCAATATCACTTTACTCTTTATCATTTTTATTTCAGATTACTTCTTTAAACCATAAATATTTTCGTACTCATTTGGAAGACTGTTTGTCCTTAGGAAGACCTCTCCTTATTGAAGATGTGGGAGAAGAATTGGATCCTGTTATTGATAATGTACTTGAAAAAAATTTCATAAAATCAGGTTCTATAGAAAAGGTATTTTTCATTCCTGAATATTTTCCTACAAGTTATCATGGTGTTTATTAATGCAGTATACTTTATTTCTTGTTATTTAGGTCGTTGTTGGTGATAAAGAGACAGATGTCATGCCTGGTTTTATGCTATACATAACAACAAAGTTGCCAAATCCAGCGTATTCTCCAGAAATAAGTGCAAAAACATCAATCATCGACTTTACTGTTACTATGCAGGGACTAGAAGATCAGTTGCTTGGTAATTTAAATTGGTTATTTGATTATAAATGTTTATAGATTTTATATTTTACATTGTTAAAATGATGTTGAGTTGATATTTTTTATATTATTATAAAACACAATAGTGTTCTGTCCCACCAAGCAAAATAATTCATATGAAACCAATTTAAAAACCACAAATGCCATGTAACTATTATTTTTCTGCCTTAACAAAGTTTTTAGGTACCTGTATCCAGAAATATACAGTTTCATAGCTTGTAATTTGGTCCACTTATAGATGGGAGAATATAGGAGAAGAAAAGTGTCCAAATGTTTATTGTGATAGGATCTGAGGTGTTATACTTCAAAAATGTCATTTCTCCCACAATGTTGATTTTGTTTACATTTGATGAAAGTACAGCCCTAAATGGCTAAATCAAATGATTTGAAAATTTGCCTTCATACATATTTATAGAAATATCTGTGCTGTTATATGCTGGTCTATTTCCTACCCTTGATCATTTATTGAGGTTATTGTGGATCCAAGGAACTTGACTTTGTCTATTCTAGTACTCCTTTCTTTTCTAAATCCCACTTGGTGGTGGCCTATTATATTTTCGTAATACGGATATATCCAGTTTAGTAGGATGTTGGTCATTATCGTGTAGGCAACCGGAAGGAGTGCTACACCTCTGTAATTACTACACTCATACATTCTTTCTTTAGGAGCCTTTCTTTAGGATAGGAGAGGATAGATTAGGCCTATATTCCAAGCCTCATGTATCCTTTTCTCTTTCCATATTTTCTGGATTAGTTGTAGTAGCTTGGCTCTTAAGTCGTTTCCCCCCTCTTTAAACAGTTCTGGTGGTAGGTTGTCCATCCCTGGGGCATTTCTTGTTTTGAGCCTTTCGATAACTATTTCTACATCTAGTATATCTGGTTTTTCAACCTCTCGTCAACCAGTTGTCTTCAACAGTCTGCAATATCTTCTTTGAGGAATTCTCTTTTTGCCAACCTTATAGTTTTGTTTGCCTTTTTCTTGGCAACTATGTACTTGTCCTGAGGAACTTAATCAGTTATAGTTAGGCAGAGGATTTTCATTTTTTGTCTTTCCTCTACTGCTGCCTTTTCGCATGCTTCTGTGAACCACAACTTAGCTTTTCGTTTCTCCTGAATACTGATCATTTTCTTAGCTGTTTATTTTAGTCCCAATATTGGTCCACTGTGAGGCTATCTAAATCCAAGAGATAAAATTTATTTTTCAGCTCAATTTGGAATTTGGTTTTTATTTCAGGATTTTTCAAATTACGGACTTCATACTTCTTTCTTTCCACTCAATAACCTGTTTATTGAGTTCTACCAATGGGTAGTTTCTCTTCATGTTGTACATGTCATGTTATCAATTTCACATTTACTTATTGTATTTTATATGTAATACAGTTGTAAATTCCATTAAAATAATAAATAAAAAATAATAACCTGTTTTGTAAATTCGCATTAATCCCTGACATAGTTTAATTCTTATCAGAGAGTGATCCAAACCACAATCTGCCCCATGATAGCTTCTTACGTCTTGTATTGAGCTCTGATGTCTCTTGTCTACCAGAACATGGTCAATTTGGTTTTTTGCTCTTTTGGGACTAATCCAGGTGCACTTGTGTAGAAACATTGTTCTGCTGATGACTAGACTTTTAGCTGCTGTCAGACTGATAGATCTCACTCCGTTGTCATTGCTATTTTCGTGAAGGGTTTGGCCTTTGGTTATTAGGTTATTAGGTAAGTATTAGGTTCTCAAATTCCCAATTTTATGTACCCAAGTATTGGGTTTTCAAAAACCCAAAAAAGTCTATATCCAGTGCCGGGGTTTTGTTTTAAGAAAATTAAATCACGAGTGTAAATAACCTTGTCCTCCAACAAAGTGGAAGGAATATTCTGAATTTCCCACCAAAAGGTCATTAACAATTAATTTTTAACATGTTATTTACAACCTTACCTCGTGAATGGCTGTTACTGGTATGTTATACTTTTTTAGTTCTTTCGGCTCCTGGTCTGTATAAACTACTTATATTCCAAGATCCAATGTACAGTTCATGATTCAAAGCTGAGATCGTTACTATGTTTAGACAGTCCGATTTTCCAAGGCTTCGTTTAAGTTCCGTGTATATATATATATATATATATATATATATATATATATATATATATATATATATATATATATATATATATATGAACTTTGTAATTTCTAAATTATTGAATTAAACTATAATATACTTCTTCAAAGTCTATATAAAAAGAAAAATCTTAAGCTTGATCTGTAATATTCAAATAAATCTGATGTTAACCTAATAAAGAAACTGTCATGATTCACTAGTGTTTAAGCCTTCTTAAATGACTAATAATATAGAAATCAGTTGAAAATTAAAATTAACCAAATTAATCTGTTGTGTTTTCCTTTACAACAGTTCTACAGTAACCTCCAAAGAGCACTTGACCTAGCTAAGCATGTCTATGTCTAAGATGTTTATTTTACTTTTTGAAGTATCTTTTATTTTATTTTTCGCCTTATGACATTTTATTTTGTTCTTTTTTGTATGTGTTATATTGTTATTACTTTATTTATTTCCGTTTCTGTAAATATAGTGTGAATGTTCTCTCTGAAGTCTGTTATAAATATCCTTAATTGAGACAGTAATATTTCAAAAAACAAATTTAAAAAAAATCTTTTTATGAACAATATTTTTTTAGTTTAAGTCAATGTATTGTCCTGTTTTTCTTAACATTTATGAACCCATCTTATGTGTTCAATTGATTTAATTTGGAACTATTAAGTTGTTCTGTTAAAAGTATAAACTATGTATTTTTTTTTTATCGTGAGCTATTCTGAGATTTCTAAAAATATCTCATTTAATTTTTTTTTTTTTTTTCATTGTGTTCTCTTATGAATCATGGTCAAAATGTCATGGTAAAAATAGAAGAAAAAATGGCTAGAAGTAAAAATAGAAGTATGATTATAACAGATCTTAATGTAAGGATAAGAAGAGACAGCTCAAATGGGATTGTAGGTCCATTTGGTGGAGAAATGGTCATGAATAATAATGGACAAAGATTAGTAAACTTCTGCATTGGCAGGAATCATCAATTGGCAATTCGTTGTTTAACCACAAAAGAATCCACAAATTGACATTTGTAGGAGATGGAAGAAATGCTCCAAGCATTATAGATTATTTAATCTTTGAGCAAGGTCTAAGAAGATATTTGCAGATGTCAAAATAATTAGAGGGGCAGATCTGAGAACCCTCCACAGACTAGTTGTGGCTGATACAATAGTGAAGTGGCTGATAATAAAAAGGAAGCCAAGAGCTAAGAGGTATGAAAGGATACAGGTAAACAGTTATCAACAGGATGAGAAGAAGGAGCAATATAGGCAAGTCCTGGATGAACTGCTGTGCAATATTAACACACAATTAGCTCTAGATGACTACTGGCCTTTTTGAAACTTGTGTAATTGATATGGCGAGAGAAGTCTGTGGAGTATAGAAGATTGGACGTCATAAATAGCAGACAAGCTGGTGGAATGAACAGGTGAGAGAAGCAATAATTGAGAAGAAAAAAGGAAAAAAATACCAGCACGAGGAACCTTGTGGAAAGGGATGAATATATGAGATGTAGGAATTTTGCAAAGATGGTGGTAAAAAATGCCATGCCAAAAAGAGAAAACGTTGGAAGACTTCGGAAAATCGGTTGAAGATAGTTACTGAGACAATAAAAGGAAAATGTTGGGAATATGAAGGATCCTATAGGAGGCGTTAAGGAGGAATTAATCCAAAAAGGGATGAACATATTTAAATGCAATGAAAAGTAAAGTAATCCCTATTGGGAGAAATGAAGCATTATCAAATATCAGTTTCAATGGAGTGATAATGGAATGTATGGATACCTTCCAATATCTGTATACAATTGTAAACAGAGATACTTGAATTGAACCAGAAATTTCAAATAGAGTGAGAAAAGCTAACGGAATCTTCTACCAAATCAACAATACATTAATCGTCCAGAAAGAAAACAATAGAAATAACGAACTAGTGATTTATAAAATAATATTTCTGCCGGTATTACTATATGGAGCAGAAGCCTGGACAATTCTGAAAAAGCTTATTTCAAGAATAATTACCACAATGTTCCTTAGAAGAATTACAGGAAAAATAAAAAGGCTGTGTACGCAATGAAGCTATTAAGGATAAATTAGTTATAGTCTCCATGAAATTAAAAATAGAAAAAAGTCAACTCGTTCCTCAGATCGTTGGGACATGTATGGAGAATGTCAGTTTTCTGTGAGACAAAATGGTGTATGCAGACAAAACCCAAAGGATGAAGAACCGTGGTATGACCCAAAGTGACTTAAAGGTAACACCTGAAATGGTTGTGGAAAATGAGAGAAAAGATGTGGGATCAGATGTGCCAAATGTCTTCGTTAGACTTAAATATGGGAGGAAGTGGACTGGGCTCGCACTCGATATTGAAAGGCACGAGGGAAAGGGAAAGAAGAAGTATTTTCCTTTACCATAATATATACATTGTCCTGAATCAATTTATCTTAACAAATATCCTTTGTTCATTACATTTGTCCATCAATTGATTTGATTAAATATCTCTCATATTATTGCCATAATATATTTTACTTTTATAGTTTATTTAAATAAATAGTAAAAGATATTAATTTTTAAATGATTGGTAGTTGGACAACATGTAACAGAAAGGAACCAATCCATATTGCATATATTTGTAACGAACTTAGTCAAAGTTAAGTGATCTTGGAAAATCCGATAAGTATATTTTATTTTTTTGTCCTAAACTTAGTTCTATTCTACATTTGATCCATCCCAAAATACTATTATTATGTCAATTGATTAAGCTGATATTAACTTCATTGTCGTTTGATCCTTTTTTTGTTTTTGTTTTAATAGAGACTCAATTCTATTTTTATCAATTTTGATTTTCCTATAGACTCCTAATCCAAGAAGTTCTTTTCTGTTGAAAATAGTAAGCACTAATCCCATTCAAAACCACATCTAACTCATTTTGCATATTTTGTGTGTTGTTTCCCTTCTACCACTGAGTTTATGATGATATAGCTACTGAGTAAGTTAGCAATGTATGGCTCAGGTATGATATGTTACATTATATTGATAAATGTCTTGATATGCATTTGTCTTAATCATAGGTCGTGTTATTCTTATGGAAAAATCTGAACTTGAAGCTGAAAGAGTTACATTATTTGAATCAGTTATTAAGAATCAGCGTAGTATGAAAGAGCTTGAAAGTAATCTTCTTCATAGGCTTACTTCATCAGAGGTAAGTTTTGTATTTTTTCTTTCTTTTTTTTTTGTAATGGCCATTTTGACATGGCATACTACGTCATTTATAGGGTGCATGGTATTAGTGACTGAAGCACAGATGGTCAAGTTGCTGAGTGCTCCAATGTCTCATACTCCTTTGAGAGTAGGGAATGATTTTGCAGCTTCAGGCACAATTTATACTATAAGATTAATGCTATAGATTTTGATCTTCTCAACATAAAACTCATGAAGTGATTTAACTATAATTAAATTTAAAATATTGGATTTATTGATAAACTGTTTATTAATTGTAATTAAATTTAAAATATTGAATTTATATATATATATATATATATATATATATATATATATATATATATATATATATAGATCATTGAATTAAAAGTAATTAATTTATTGAATAAAAATTAATTAATAACTAACTTATGCTTTATTTGAATCTCATAGTAAATTTATAAATGAAAACAATCATAAAATAATTAGATAAATACATTTTAAAAGTAAATGAAACATTTTTAAGTTAAAAAATATTATAAAATCAAACACCTATTTTTATGTAGTATAACAAATATTTTGAAGATACATTTCAAATAATTGCATTTTTTACACCATTTCAGGATTGCATGTTTCTTCTTGATGAGATAATTCTTTAAGCCATTGTTGACTAATCTTGGGATCTGGTGAATATTAAAATTTTCTTGTAGGTTCTGACATGATAATCAAGAAGATAGGTGAGAAACCTTTTTATCAAGAGAGGCCGCAGTAAGGTTGGGCAGTACTAATGGAGACCACAACAATTTTTTATATTTTACTGTTGTTATTTTTATTAATCGCTAAATACATATACCCATACCCACATTAACCTTAATTCTATTAATTTTCCTCAACTAAATAACTAAATATCAATTAATTCTAGCGCTAGATTAATAAATATCGTGTGAAAATGTCTGAAGACCAAGCTAGCTCACGGAGGCCACATGCAACCTCTAGGCCGCAGGTTCTCCACCTATGATAAAGGATATAAAATTTAAAAATAGAAAAATGTGGTTTAGTAAATTTTGTTTTCTACTAAAAAGATTTTATGTACAAAAAAACACAAATAAACCTAATTAACAAATTGGTGATTCATACTAAATAATAAAGATTTATTATTTTTGATAGGTCACACTTGGGATGCTTCTTAACCATATTAGTTTGAGAAGAATATTTTCCTTTGTTGAAATCTAAACTGAACTAAAAAAACGTAGCTTCTAACAAGAAAGTCTCCTTGAAAGACACCAAATGGAGAGGTTAAGGGGGAGGGAGAGACGAGTTACTTCAGCAGGATTCGATACACCTCACAACAGTGAAATTTGACCTTATCTTTCATATTAAGCCTCTCTTACATCGTTAGAACTTATCATTTTTTAAATAATATCAAGGCCCACTCCAAATTCTTGTTTTCTCCCAACATTTCTGGTGAAAAATCTTTAATTTCACTGGAATAGCATTAAAAATCAATTTTGTTTTCATCTAGTCTGTTGATTGTCAGAACAAATTGTTAAATCTATAGATTAAATCATATATCTTCTTTAATAATACTCAATAAAATAAAATAAAATAATTACATGAAACTGTTGATTGATGTGTTTTAGGGTTCTTTAGTTGACGACGAAGCACTGATTGATGTTTTACAAGAAACTAAAACTACGTCTGAGGATGTGAATGCTAAGTTGATTGTTTCGGCAGATACAGAGAAAAAGATCATGAAGGCTCGAGAAGAATTCAGAGCTGTGGCTGCAAGAGGGTCCATTTTGTATTTCTTGATAGTAGAGATGAGTAATGTTAATATCATGTACCAAAATTCTCTAAAGCAGTTTTTAACTATTTTTGATAATTCTATAACAAAGTAAGTAAAAATAAAATACTGTACTAATAATTACTTTTTATATATCTGTTGTCAATACAATATTTGTTTTTTTCTGTTTTTTTTTTTTAGATCAGAAAAATGTAGAGACACAGAAGAAAGGATACAAATTATTTTGTCCTATTTAACTTATCAGGTTTGGATATATACATTGCGTGGACTATATGAAAGACATAAAGCATTATTTACATTGATGCTAGCAATGAAAATTGATTGTTATAAAGGATTGATAACCCACGATGAGTTTTTGGCATTCATCAAAGGTTTGCATTGCTATTTGGAAACCATTTTAATATGATTTTTTTTTTAATTCTTATTATTTTTATTTAAGGTGGTGCATCATTGGATTTGAATGCAGTCACACCAAAGCCATATAAATGGATATTGGATATAACATGGCTCAACCTGGTTGAAATTAGTAAGCTTCCTGTCTTTGAAAATGTCCTTCAAAAAGTAATTATAAATTAGAATTTTAAATGTTTAGTTGCTAATATAATATATTTTTCATTAATTTCACATTTGAAGAATATGTAATTGAATAATTTTGTCATTCATAATTTTTGTCAATTATAATTCATGATTAAATTCTTCAAATATAGGATTGGTAGGGAAACAGTTTACTAGAGTGAAAGAAATTGACAAATGATGAAAGTAGTTTGAGAAATCAAAATTTTATTGCTTGATAAATTAATTAAATAAATACGACCTAGTATTTATTTTTTTCAGTTTTAATGTTACTTTTTCGAATTATTAATAGATTAAGAGTAGTGAACGAGAATGGAGACTGTGGTATGAAAAGGAGAAACCTGAAGAAGCTGATTTACCATGTGGATATCAAAAATCATTAGATGTTTTTAGAAAACTTTTATTAATTAGATCATGGAGTCCTGATCGTACAATATCTCAAGCTAGAAAATATATTATTGGTAAGAGGTAGTTTCAAGATTAAATAATGCCAAGTTAAAATTAAACTTGGGATCTTTTATGATTGCGACACATATATTCTAGGTTCACTTGGGTCAGAATATGGTGAGGCTAGTATTTTGGACTTGGAAGTAACATGGGGTGAATCAGAACCAAGGACCCCCTTGGTATGCATCCTTTCCATTGGATCTGATCCATCACCTCAGATAACTTCATTAGCTAAATCACAAGATATTGGTCTGCTCTATTTATTTATTTTTTACTTACGTAAATTATATTAATTCTGTTATTGTATTTCTTCTGTTTTGGTTAGCTTTGAGATCTGTTTCTATGGGTCAGGGACAAGAATATACTGCAAGGCAGATGATAAGTGATGGAATGACGAATGGCGGATGGGTTCTTCTTCAAAATATTCATCTTTCCCTCCCGTTTTGTACAGAAGTCATGGATGCTCTTGCTGATGCTGACATGATTGATGAAACATTCAGACTCTGGATGACTACTGAAGTTCATACTGAGTTTCCTATTGGACTCCTTCAGGTTCATTTAATTTTGTTCAATATGCTTTCTTTTATAAGCTTTAGTCAATTCGTTTTAGATACAGATCTTTTCCTATCTTTCAATTAAAAGAACACATGTAAGTTTTCTGTTCATTGGCTGCTTTTGACTTGCAAGTCACTGAATCTATTGTGATAAAACATTTTCCATTGTTTTGTTGGGTAAGCTATATCAATCTACATAGTTTGTGTAATAATAGTAATAATAATTCAAATAGTTACTGTAACTCCCAGCTATTTTAATAATTTATTTAACTTGTTGTGGTAGATGGCCATCAAGTTCACAAATGAACCTCCACAGGGAATCAGAGCCAGCATGAAGAGAACTTACCAAAATATAACACAGGTAATACAGATTAAAAATTATGTGCTGAATCTTATTTTTTTATACTATAACTTTTATTTTATTTATAATCATTATTTTCTTAACACTCTATTTAAATGTAATTGAGGTTATGAAAATTCCTTATCATATCTACTAGTCAATCTTGTCTGTTATATATTGGTTTCTAAGAATAATACAAATACCTCAATGTATACTTTGTTTGCCATTTGTATCTTGAAGGATTGCTTAAAACTAGCAGAACTTTTTCATCTGTATTTATGAAATGTCTTATTAAATTTTTTTATTCTGTTAGTAAAACCATGGCATATTTGTATCCCCTTTGTCAATATTAATATTTCGTATCACATTGTATTCTTAAATGCTACATTTAAATCCAGATCCCACCAAAAACTTCTTAATGGACAATTGATAAAAATTATTTTGACTAGCATTACAACATTTTGATTGTTATTATAAATGGTACTGTTTTCCAACAATCCACTACCGTTTATATTATATTCAGTTTTATTCTATTGTACTTGTCAAGTCTTTATGTAAAATTTTATTGGAAAGTGCAGATATGAACTTTTCTAGTCAATATTACATTTTTTAATAATCTTGCGCTTATTCAGAATTACTAACAAAAAAAATGTATTCAAAACATTACCGCTTTGTCTTAAGTATGTTAAACAAATTGAACAGAAAATCTAGTTCATAAAATAAAAAGTATACATTTTTTTTTTCGCCTTATGGGTATTTTTATTCGTTACAATTGCAAGCTTTTGTAACATGACTGTTATAAATTATACCAATACAAGGAAGTTATAATTTTAAACAAAAGTTAAATGCATTTTCCTTTTAACGTCTCTAAGTGTGTTGTATACTAGTAGTCTGATATAGTATTGGTGGCTGATAATAATATCTTTAATGATTTGGAGAGGAAGAAAAAGGTTCAGGAGGTAACTTTCTGAAATATTGCCCACATTTTAATTTCAGGACACGCTGGACTACTCAGCTCAAGCTCAGTGGCCTCCTTTGCTTTATGCTGTTGCATTCCTCCATACGATTCTTCAAGAAAGAAGAAAGTTTGGTCCTCTTGGATGGAATGTGGCTTATGAGTTCAACCAGGCAGATTTTGCTGCTTCTGTTCAGTTTATTCAGAACCATTTGGATGATATGGATCCAAAAAAAGTATGTAGAAATTTATGATTTATTTTCATTATCAGTTTTTTACAATAAAATTAATCATGATCAACCTTTTTTTAAAATAATATAAATATTAGTATTAGATCTTTTAGAATTAAAGATTTTTAATGATTAATTCTACTGTTGCAGTATTTTCTATTATTTCCTAATTTATATGGTGTAAATGTCAATAAATTATCGTTGTAAGGGAATACAACTTTACAACTTATACCCATTGCTATAAGTTGCATATCTTAAAAGCTATAAAAAAATATGTATCCTTCTATTCTTAATTTATTTATGAAAATACAACAGTAGGGGTTTAATTTACTTTTCTATAGTATAATTTGTTAATTTAAAATTTTTTATTTTATTACACTTTTACACAGGGAATATCATGGGCAACAGTTTGTTATATGCTCGGTGAAGTCCAGTATGGGGGTAGGGTAACTGATGACTTCGATAAAAGGCTGTTAACAACATTTACTCAAGTAATTATTTTAAATGTACATATTACTATTAAAGTACTATATATATTTTTTTCAATGAATCATTGACATAGGTTTGGTTCTGTGATGTACTTCTTAGACCTGGGTTTGAATTTTATCATGGTTACAAAGTTCCAATAACAAGGAACATTCAGGGCTATGCTGATTATATTAATAGTCTACCTATAACTGACTCTCCAGAGGTTTTTGGATTGCATCCTAATGCTGATATAACGTAAGGTTACTTGCACTGTCATCAATTAAAGCCTATATATTATTTTATGTAGTTTTATAAAATATTAAAATATGTATCGTATGCCTTCCAGTTACCAGATAAATACTGCAAATGGGATTTTAGATACAATATTAAATGTACAACCTAAAGAAGGAGGCTCCCAGGGTGGTGAAACAAGAGAAGCTGCAGTGTATAAATTAGCTGATGATATGCTTCGCAAGCTGCCAAAGCAGTATAACAGTTTTGAAGTATGCATTTTAGTGAATTTCTTTTCCATTTTTATTTGCAATAATTGTAGGCACTTGGGAGTAAGTTTCCAAAGTGTTTAGTTCAAAGGGAACATATCTTGCCTATTAAATCCTATGTTAAATTAGCTTATGTTTTGACTGAAAATAATATACAAGCACGTTATATATATTATGTGTTTATTGACCGCACCCCCAACCAGTTCAAGCTATGGTCAATTATTTCTATATAATTGTAAAATTTAAAAAATCCTTTTAAAATAATTTTTTTAGTACTAAATTATCATGGTTTAGATAATTTATTTTACAGTTAAGTTTGTCATCTGTATTCATCCATGGGACGAAGTGATTGTTAGATTTGTTATGGAATCATTCTTAATTTTAAAATCTTAATCTTAAAATTAATAGTATCTATTTCAAATCCTTTTTACCTCATGTTAAGCTTTCTTAAAATTAGTTATATTTATGCCAATCCTTTCAAAAATTTTTGAAAAGATTTTACTGAAAAAATCCTACCCATAATAGAATCCCAAAACACTCCTACCCATCAATTCGGATTTCGTTCCGAACACTCCACCGTCCATCGAGGACTCTGAGTTGTTGACCACATATCCTCAGCCCTAGAACACAAGCAGTATGGCTTGAGTAGATTTCTGGACACAGCACAAGCTTTTGACTAGGCATGGCACACCAGATTTCTCTTCAAGCTCAAATCTCACCTACCACAATCCTTATTTCTAACACTCCTATCCTATCTCTCCAACCGCTCCTTTTGAGTTCGTTGTGGTGCAGAATTCTCTGACTGTTATTCAATTGAGGCTGGAGATCCTCAAGGCAGCGTCTTGGGTCCCGTCCTTTACCACTGATATCCCCGTCCATTCCAATGCCCTCCTGGCTACTTTCGCTGATCACACTGCTATCTTATCTTCCAACTCATATCCTCAAATAGCGTCCATAAACCTGCAAAGGCACCTATCCCTGATTGAACTCTGGTGCAAGAAATGGTGCATCAAAGAATGAATCCAAATGTAAACATATTACCTTCACTCTTCATTGTAATACCTGTCTATCCGTATATTTGTATTCCATACAGCTTTGCTTTTGACTACTAATGTGAAACCTACATACTAGATTATAAGACAGGAACTTGATCAACATTATGGCCAGCTATATAGAATACTAAATAGAAAATCTAAACTTTCTATTGAAAACAAATTACTGATCTACAAGACAATACTAAAACCCATCTGGACCTTCGGACTAGAATTATGGGGGACAGCCAAATTTAAAATTTAAACATCAAACGCATTCGATCCTTCCAGTCTAAAATCCTCCATACAATAGTCAATGTTCCCTTCTATATAACCAACAAAACTCTGCATTTTGACCTCAATATTCCATTTATTCTTAATCTTATCCAAGACAAATTTTCCAAATTTCATCAGAACCTTATTCATCACCCAAATCCCGTAGCACAGTCCCTATCTAGCTAATCCCCACCCATCCCTATAATCCTCCTTGCAGGTTAAAACGGCAGTTGCCCCGTGACCTTTTGTAGCATATATATATTGGAGTTCTGGCAATAGCCAGATTCTCCACTCAAGTCATGAGTGTCTGTGGCTTTAGCGTCCTTACTCAGCCTCTGCTTGCTTTTAATACCAGTGAAGTGATTGAGGGATAAGCACAGGGATCTCTTGAAGCCTCGCTTTTCTCTCCACAAGTAGGGAGACAATTCTTGTCAAGAGTTCCTCTTGCTGGTTGTAAATAGTGTATATATGTATGCTTGCATCTAAGATGTTTATTTTATTTTTTAAGAACCTTTTTATTTATTTATTTTAATTTTATTAGCATTATTTTCGTCCCTCATTATGATATTTTATTTTTTTCTTATTTCGCTGTATATTATGGTTGATATTCTTACTACCAATATCCTCTTGCTCTGTTGATGTGTCAGGAAATTAAAGATCTGCAGAAGAGGCACGATGCTGCCCGTAGACGCTTTAGACATACTAGGCTTGCAGATGACTACTAAGCATTCAGGGTGCTTCGCAATTTGACACAAACAAGGATCCCTCGAACAAAATCCCTCTACTTCCATGAAGACCTTTCCTCAACTCCTGATATCAAACCAAAATGGCTACAATTTCGTAAACTTTCTCTTTGTGATCCTTCCAGATTACCTACCTCAGCCTTTCCAATATCCCCTGATGATCTAAACTCGCATTTGATATCTGTTGCTAATACCTCTCCTCTATCCTCCTCTTCCGACTTTCCTCTATAGATATCATTTAACAGCAATAACTTTTATTTTTCCGACATTTCTCCACAGACCTTTAAACGCTGTAATGAAATCCCTCACCAATTCCATTGGACCAGATGACATCCCTGTCAAATTAATAAAATTATGTCTCCCTGAAATCATCCCAGTTCTCCATTTCATCTACAATTTCTCCCTTCAGAATTCATTATTCCCTACATCTTGGATAAAAGCCATTGTCCTTCCTCTGAATAAAAATTCTAATCCTACCTCACCCAAAGATTTCCACCCAATCTCAATTCTTTCCACCCTCTCAAAACACCTAGAAAGATTGGTGCAATCCCAAGTTTTCCTTGAAAAGTCCAACCAACTTGATCCTCTCCAATCTGGTTTCCGTCCCGGCTACTCCACACTATCTGCCTTAATTAAAATCACCAGTGACATTCAAACTGCAATAGATGATAAAAAGTTAACTATCCTTATCATTCTTGACTTCTCAAAAGCCTTCAATTCCATTAACCATTCCATCCTTTTCGACAAACTGAAATTATTATCCTTTTCCAATCATTCCGTCTCTTTATTTCAATCTTTTCTCTCACAACGTACCCAAGCAGTCTCTATACCCAATCAACCACTATCTGCCTTCCTTTCTTTATCCTCTGGAGTTATCCAGGGTTCAAGCATATCTCCTCTCCTTTTCAGCTCCTACATCAACGACCTACATAAATCAATTCTCCATTGTTCCCACCAGTTTATGCAGTGTTCCCACCATTGTTTATGCAGACAGTTCTCAGATCTATCTATCCTTTTCCCCTTCTGAATTATTGGTAGCATTTGCCAAGATCCAAGAAGACCTAGATTGAATACGGATTAAGGTTATATGCTCTCAAAACTCAGGCCATTGTCATTGCTTCCAAGCCCCTTCATAGATCCCATACTGACTTTCCCGTACTACATCTTAATGACCAGCCAATCTCTTTCTACTTCTCTGTTAAAAAATTTAGGATTTTTCATTGATCAAAACCCTTTCTGGAATCACCTAATTTCTCACATCTGTAGACGGACAATTTTAACCCTCAAACTATTCTATCGCTTCCGCCATCTCCTACCTCAACATACGCATAGACTCCTAGTTTCCTCTCTCATTTCCCCCCACTTTGACTATAGCTGTGTGGTGTATGGTGGCCTCTCTATGGAGCTCTGCGATAGACTGAAAAGACTAATGAACAGCTGCATAACATTTGTAATTGGGGTCCTAAGTCTCTCACCACTACACTGAGTTAAGGTGGCTTTTTCCCTCCTTCCAAAGACAATATTTCCTAGATGCTTTCCTCTACCAAATCATCAACAATCATCATCCTTCTTACGTCTACAACTAGAGGTGGGCGTTTATGCTGCTTTTGAAAAACGTAAATGAACTAAATCATCGACAAAAAACAGCAGTTCTTAAGAACTGTTGAAAAAGAAATAGTTCATAGAACAACGTAACGATTCATGGTTTAAGACCGATTCGTTTGATAACAGTCTTATTCATTTTAAAACAGATTCATTTCGTTTAATGACAAGTCTGGAAATGGAAATGAAACGTTTTATGTATAAAGTTTGGCATTGTTCGAGCTTGAAATTGATAACCTTTAAATTTATTTTTTATATTAGCAGCCGAATGCTTAATCTTAAAAATTACTTTTTAACTAATTAAAACTGAAAATTATTTTTTACCCATAGAACACTTTTTATTTTAATAATATTTTAACTATATTATATTACTCTGGTGGTTGTGATTTTGGACAAGTTCCTAAACTCTCAACAATGAGCTTATTGATGACATCCTTTCGCCCAGCATAAAGATGAATCCGGTGCTATCAATGAGCTCAGCACTGAGTTTAGGAATTTTTCAAACAAATTTGTTATAAATGTTTTGCCATATTTCTTTATCAATTGTTGTTCTTATTGAAATTACGCTGCTTGGTCATTCTTCAACTGGTTGGTTTTGGCTAGTCTTTTAACTGTAGTTCAAAAATGTTTTCAACTGTTTGCCTTTTTCAATTTTTATAGAACATAATAGTGTTTATAATTGTGAATCAATGGTTGACTGCAGTGAATAATTGAAGAGAACAATGTTTTTTTTTTACTGATCACTCAACCTTTCTTCCCTTCAATAATAGTATTTAATTTTATTTATGCACTTTAATTGGTTTTTGTGAATATGTTCAATCATAAAAATTATTTTCGGTCTGCAAGACACTAACATAGATAGATACATCTAAAAACATAAATTTTTCATACAAATATGCTTAAGTTAATTTAGTAATGTAGTTTTTTTTTTTTTCCCATCCCCCAGGAATTTCTTTATTACAAAATACAATATATAAATGTTATATATACATAATTTTTTTTAATTTCTTTTTATTGCCCAAGGGCATTTTAAGGTAAAAGGGCTATGCACGCGCTGTATGCGTACTTTGCATCTGTGGCCAGAGGCCTTTTATTATACCACTGGGCGTGGAGGGACCGCCCTAGTAATGTAGTAACTATAATGAAAGTTTTTATTTATTCCTAGCCTTCATTAATAATGGGAGCTAAAAATTACATCCCTAAACATAACAGTTAAAACATGTCTTATAAAAAAAACTATTGGGTTATTTTCACAATGAACTGATAGTTTCTTTGGAAAACAGAAAGAGCTTCTGTTTCGTTTGAAAAAAACGAAACGAAAAACAGATCAAACAGCAACTCGACTAGTGGCAAACAGGTGAACTAAAAAAAAAACTGTTGTTATCAGTTTGGAAGAACAGCTCATTCGTTTGAGATCAAGAACTGTTCTTTTCAAACGTTTGGCCTTTTCTCTCCCACCCATACCTACAACATTCTCCAATTCAAATCCTCAGTCCATTCCCTTTCCACAAGATCTCAACCTTCTAACCTTTACATGCTTTCTCACAGATCTGGCTCATCCTAAAACTCCTTTATTGTTTGCTCTGTAAATTTCAAGAATTCCCTCCCTATCAAATTTCGACATTCACCCTCCATATCCACTTTCAAAACCCTCCTATTCCAATTCCTATCCCCAAAACAGTCAGATAGTTGCTTACCATTCGACAACAAACATTTATTTCATGGCATTCATTGTCAAATATCAATGCTGTTCTTTGCTAGGGATATTAATTTTCTTATAGGATAAAGGTTTTCCTACTCTTGATGTCACTGAACGCATCTATTGGTTGTTTATAATAGTTATAAAATTGTAATAAAACTATTATCTTTTATACACCACTAATTTCTTGCTTATCGTTGCGTTAAGAAATGATGATGATGTATTTATATATTAATCAACATTTAAATGATAATGTATTTATATATTAATCAGGCACTTTATATTGTCAGGTTCAGCTTTCTCTTTTCTAAACAGAAACACAAAGCTTATTTTAATGAAGAATTTAATATATTTTCTTTTTTTTTCTGTATTGTTTTCTTAAAAGTATATACTTGTCATTGTTATAGTGGTTATTGTTTTGTATATAGTTTCATTTGTTTTGTATATTGAATGTTTACCTTATATTTTCTTTTTGCTTCCTCACTACCGAAGGTAGGGAAGCATTGTGTTCGTGCGAGAAATTAAAAAAAATTGTTTGCTCAGAATCGAAAATTTTCACTCGCGTTTTACGTTTCAGACATCAAGGATCAAATTTGGTTCGGTGTCTGTCTGTCTGTAGTCAAATCGATGTGACGGGCATATCACCTAGTTCCGTTCATCCAATCTTCATGAAATTTTCAGGGATTATGCTGATGGGTGCCTAGATGGTCCCATATCAATTTTATCAAATTCCACCCAGCAGTTCCACTTACGCACGTGCAAACGTATATTTTTAGATATGCCAATATTTCAGAAAGGGCTCGTTCGATTTGGCTCAAAGTTAGATAAAAGGTAGACTTTGGTGAAAAAATAATGTAGTGTCAACTTCATTGAATTGTGTCCAACACTTTCTCTTATATGTGCACTACTAGTCCGCCGTCCGCCGTCCGCGCATTTTTTCTGAAACTACTAGACCGATTTTTTTCGAATTTGGATATAAAATCAGAGGTCACCCGAGGATCATCCTCCTTCAACGACATTACTATTCGCCTTCTAGTTTCAAAATGGCGGCCGAAAAACCTGCGTGGCTATAGACTGTAGCGCCTAAACGAATGAACCGATTTTGATGAAACTTCGCTAAAGTCATTTTCTCTACGCCCTCTAAATTTATCTATACTACATACTTCAACGAAAAGAAGCTCAAAAAAAGTTACGAGGGATGGTAAAATTAAATTCCGAATAACTCAAGAAGTATACACATTTATGTCAATATTGTATATGGTTTTTTAGAAGTTTACGGAATTTCTTAAAAAACAAAAAAAATTCGTCAAAATCGGACAATTAGGAGCAAAGATATCGTCTCTAGTTTTTTTTAGATGTGCTATTGCAAAAGGTTTATCTTTTTTTTGATTTCTGAATGTGTTACTGAAGTAATGCTATTTTTTTTATCATATTACTAATGATTAAAAAAGATTTTAGTCCAATAATTAGAATCACCTTTTATTTATTTTTCTTTATAACTAGGAATTTAATGTTACTTTATCTTTCGTGCTGAAGCCCCTCCTCCAAAATTAAATCTTGATTCGGTAATGTATATACTATTATTAGATCATAAGTTCGTATGTAATAATTTTCAACTTTAATTCTATGTGTATTAAAGGTGATATTTTGTAGTCTGCAACTGATATAAGTAGTCTGCTACTATGGAAAATAGCAGATAAAAATAAAATATGAAATTATTCTAATAAAGCATAAAGAAATATTGAGTTTTTATGCACTCTTGTAAAACAATAAATACATTTATACATAAGACCTTTAGAACTAACAGTATTGAAATTCATGTTCAGTATGCATTTTTTTTTTTTTTTTTATTAAGCATAATTAAGTATGGAATATTCAAATACGACCCTCTGTTGTTGAATGTTGAAGGGTAACTGTAATCGGCTATTCCGATTCTGCTTCTCTCAGAGATTTTATTCTCATTCGAAAAATTGTATACCTTGTAATATACAACGGAAACGGTGAGGAAGCTATACTGACCTTACTTGGCAGACGTTTTTTCTATTGCTTTTATTTAGGCTAGATGTAATCTTTTAATTTTGTTATTCTCGAGGGACTTTGTTCCAGAATAAAGTTATTTTCTATCCATCTATCATTTTGTTATTACCTTATTTATTTATGATCCTGTAAATATAGTGTGAATGTGCTCTCTGAACTCTATTATAGGTGTCCTTAATTGAGACAGATTGTAATATTTATCAATAAACAAGAGAAAAAAAATTATATTTATGAATATTGACTTAAAAATTATACTATTTATTCATTACTGTTGAGAAAAAAACTAAATCATTTCCAGTTTTAGTATATGTGCTGCCAATACAGGTACAAAAATAAATTTATTAATTATTTTATTTGCAGGTGAGAGATGCATTGCACAGGATGGGAGCTCTTCTTCCTATGAATATTTTTCTTAGACAAGAAATAGATAGACTTCAAAAAGTTATTAGGGCTGTTCAAACAACATTAGTTAACGTCAAATTGGCAATAGATGGTACTATTGTCATGTCTCATAACCTACGAATGTCATTGGATGCAATGTACGATGCGAGAATACCTGAAAGTTGGCAAAAGGTAGACTTATAATTTTAACAAGTTAGCATTTTTTTTCCTTTGAAAATTAGCAATGGTTTATTGTTTTGCAATTGGTAATCAATGGTTATGGTAATGGTAATCAAATTTTACTTCTCTGGATTGATCTGCCCTAACATAGTAAATTATTTAACAACCCTACATACCAATTTGTTTATTTATTCAGAGGCCTCTACAGATGCCAACATGAAGCAGAAGAAAATTATGCCAGAATCTCCAAAACATCTGTAACTATGAGGGTTTACACCATCATTCCTTTCTGATATAATACAAAAGTCTATTGTAATTTAAGGAAAAATACATCTAAACAAGTGTATTTCAATCTCTTCTCTTTGAAAACAATTTTATGAAAATAAGAGCATTAGTATATGTGCATAAGTAACCCTTAATTAGCTGAGTATTTTAGACAAAATTATATATAACATGTTGAGTCATGGAAAATAATGGAGTGTTTAAAAATGAAAAAGTTAACAGTAAGATGGCTGGAAAAATATATTTTAATTAATTATTTAAATGAAGATTGATAATCTATAATTTTTGTTTTCACTTACCTATATATAGAATAGTAGAAAATAATTTTTACTCTTAGTAGAGTGGAATGTGAAAGTTTTATGATGCACCATACCAGATTTTTTAGATTTTAATTTTTTTTTTAATTGAATAAATTCCATGAGAAAACGTGCAGAAAAGATGATATTGATACAATTTCGATTTTTTTTATTGTGTTCAGAGTTTAATTATTTTTCAAATGTATATCTATAATGTTTCAAGAGATGTAGTGTATAATTTTCAGCTTATTTGAAGAACTTAATTTTTTTTTTACGTTTTAAGATTTTCATTTAATCTCTTCCAGTAAAATCATTGTCAAACCCAGCCATATGAGTGGTATCTTTTATTTATGTAGGGTCAAAACAAATGAAAACTATCACTGCAATTAAATTTAGGTGAAAACATTTTCAATTATTTATGCTTGTCCATTAAATTATAACCTTATAATGTATATTGTTATTAATTTTAATTTAATTTGTAGGTAATAATTTCTAATTTAATTTTTTATGTTTAATTTTTAACATGTGATTAAATTACCATTGTATCTTAATGGTTATGCTAAGGCAGGGCTTATGCTAGGGTGCTCACTTGCCCAAAATTTAGATCAATGATAACTTTATATGTCAAATTGGAGAATTTGCAGAAAAAAATTATTTTATAATATAGGTTCTTATATTGCTCTAACTCACTATACATTTAAATCTCTACATAGATACTTGTATATATAACAACAAATATCATAAAAATCATTTTGTTCTGTAAATTCTTGGATTTTACATATAAAGTTATGATTGATCTAACCTTCAAACCGTTGGAGATAAACTAGTAAAATAATATATATTCTTGAAAAAAATTAATTATTAAAAACTTTCTTCCTCATGATTTAATCGTAGAATGAAGTAATCAAAAGTTAGCTGGTCAAATATAATAAAAAACATGAGGTAAAGATTTTTTTTTTTCAAAATTAGTGATAGTTGAGGGCGGACAGCGAGTTAGCGATAAAAAGCTCATAATCAATCATATTGCAAATTTTATCAGCTATGTATAGAACGTCTTTGTCGATGTGATTGATAGTTTTCCTGGCATCAGCAAAAAACCGAAATATAGCAATAAACATGAAGTAAATTTTTTTTTTTGAAAATTAACTATAGTTGAAGACGGATAGTTTTCCTGATATAAGCAAAAACCTGTATTAAGTGATCTTCTAGACACCCTAATCTACACCTGGTTCATCACATATGAGTGGGGACTTTAGTATTTTTATCTCCTTACTAGTCCAAACAATGTCCTAAAGTCAAACATTGTATCCCTGTCATTTCCTTCTATACCCCCTTTTCAAACATTCATTGTCTGGACTAATATTTTTGTAGTAAGTTTAGTAAGTTGGAAAATTTTCATTTTTTTGAAATATGAATGTGTGAATCACTTTGTTTAAACCCTATTTTCACGTTTCTGATGTACAATTATATGGTATTTTGGATTTTGTTTTTTTTTGTTAAAGTTATTTTTAATTATCAAATATATTTTGTGATTAGTAATGAAAAGTATTACCTACTGACACAACTATAGTTAAATCAATGGGCCTTTTAAATGAGTAATATTTTATGAAATTGATATATTTGCTTAATTGAAATTGATTCTTTGGTTTAGTTATCATGGGAATCAGCTACTTTAGGATTTTGGTACACTGAACTTCTAGAAAGGGAAGCACAATTTAAGAAGTGGTTACAGCATGGAAGGCCTGTTGTATTTTGGATGACTGGATTTTTTAATCCTCAAGGTTTTCTGACTGCTATGAGACAGGTAGATTGATTAATGTGAAATTGATTTTTAATATTTTGTTAGCTTATTAATTTCATACTTTGTTACTTATCAAAAAAATTTATTTCCTAACAAATTGATCGGTGCTAGAAGTACTATCTTGTCTGAAGTAAAAATTTTAATTTTAAATCTGCTGGAGCATATTATTTATTTATTCAAGTTTTTTGACCATTATGGTCATTTACGCTATAGTCTCACATTGTGGAGCACATTAAAAAGGAAGACAAATTAAGTAAAAAAGAAAATTTTAAATAATGTTCTGTTTCATTTTAACTATTGAGCCATTTTTGTTTTATTGGTAATGCAAATTGGAGAATGTCAACATATATCCTTAAGGACAAAACTGGAGGCTATCTTATAACAATGTTTAGACTTTATTTCTATTATTTTTTTTAGTTTGTACAATATTTGAGGTTTTCAATCGAATCGAACTCATGAATTCCTACCATTCACCTTTACTTGTCAACGACTGCCATTGTTGCCAACATACTAGGCTTTATCTCTTTTTAGAGATGGTGAATCATGTATTTAATTTATTTGTTTGAAATATGAGTTATGCTTTTATGCCAAAAAGATAAATAAGGAAAAACTTTGTGAAGGTTTTCCTTTCTGCAAAAAGATAATAATATTCCATCATTTTTTTAGATACCTTGAATGATTACTGAGAATAATTTTGGAAACAATATTTTGCTATAAAAGTTTTTTAAAGGTTTTGTTACTTTTAAGCAAAGGCTGATAAATATGTGATATTACATATACTTTTTCCCATTTGAATTATTTAATTTACGGCATATTCAGCATCGAGATTTATTGAGATTTTAAGAAGGATTTTCGAAAAGAAAAATAATAAATGGCAGGAATCTGATTACTTTATTGGATTCTACACCTTAATACTAAAAGCCGTGATGATAGTCTTATAAAAAAACAACTTTTTTTTTTGTTAATTTGATGTTTAGATAATATTTCAAGTAGTCACTTTTAAGGTATGAAATATATTCAGCCCCAAATGTATTCCATTCATTATCTGTGAATTATCTTTTCTTATTTGAAATAATTGTTCTGTACTTTAGTATGAAGATTTTTTTTTATCTTGATTTTTAGGAAGTAACTAGAGCTCATAAGGGTTGGGCCTTGGATTCAGTTGTTCTCCAAAATCTAATCACAAGGCATAACAAGGAAGATATACATGAAGCCCCTCCTGAAGGTGTTTATGTTCATGGGTTATTTCTTGAAGGTGCTGGTTTAGATCGTAGGTCAGGAAAACTGATTGAAAGCAAACCAAAGGTACTTTATGAACAAATGCCAGTAATATATATCTATGCAATAAATACTACTGCTGGGAAAGATCCAAAGCTATATGAATGCCCAATTTATCGAAAACCACAGAGGACTGACCAAAAATATGTTGGTTCAATTGATTTTGAAACAGATAATAATCCGAGACATTGGACATTAAGAGGAGTTGCTTTGTTGTGTGACATAAAGTAAAGTTGTTATTCTATTATAAAAGAAACAAAAATATAATTGTTTATTACAAAATAGCATTACAAATATATCACAATAAATAATTAAGAACACAAGTAATAAACAGCTAGTACAAATTATTTTTTTCTTTTCACTTTATACATAAACTATACAACTATCTTTCTGAACTTAAAAAAATACTAGTGAATCACATTTTCCATGTACAACATGTATTTCAACTCCGATGGTATTTAAATAGTTCTTAAAACTATTATTAAATACCTTCTCATTTTAAATCTATTTAAGCCTTATTTATCGACAATAATTTTAGTTAAATTATCAAAACATAAAACAAAATACGTATAACTTATGTGTCATATTTAAAAGTCGTTACTTATGAATTCAACAAGAGCTGTTGAAGCTGTTGTGAGGCAGATTACTAAATATATTAAGAATATTAATTTTTTATTTGTTGCTTTCCTCGGATTTTTGTTTTTTGTTTTTAAGGTAGCACAGATTTTTTTAGTTTTAAAAGTGGTTGATGATTTTTTCTTTTACTTTGTCATTTAAGACAATAATATTGGTACATTATAAATACATAAACTTAATCTTACAGATTTCACTCACACTTTCACATAAAATATTTCATAATCACCAAACACTGTACACAGTTTATAGGCACCTATTTAACTGGTCTTTCCTTAAGCACAAACAGGACAGCACCTTCCTTCAACCTTTTGCTGTTTTTCACAATTAAGATTAGCACACTGAATTCTTGTACAAGAGACCTGTACTCCCTAAAACAATAAAATTTTAATTGATAATATTTTTATTTTAAGCTTTATATGTTATAATAATGTGATAGTTTATCAAAATTACCTGAATAGCATTGTTATGAATGTAATTTATTTTAATTTTAAAATATAGCTATTAAGTGAGACTGTGATTGAAATGTTAAAATAATTATTCCAGTTATAGAAATAATATAAGAAAATTGTATTTGAATAAAATAATATTGTTGTGGTTTATATTTTCTATAGTTCATAAAAAAAAAGCTACCTGACATTCGCATAAAGTGCAGCTATCTTTCTGCCAAGTGTCTCCATCATGCATTATATTGCCCTTATTGTCACGACATTTTGCAGTTAAACCTTTCATTCTCCTTTTAAGAGACTTTACTGTTTTTTGGAGCTCCTCTACCATATTTTCTAATCCTTCCATTCGATCCTCCATTTCACCATCAACTAAACCTCTCCTACCTCTTGACGAAACATCATTTTCGCAATCTAAATTAAATAAGGTAGAATATTTTATCATGTTTCTGTTTTATATAAAAAATAATTTTATCTCAAAAGTTTCAAATAAACCAAAAAGTTATAAAAATTATTAATTTTATGAACATTTTTCTTTAACCTATACATGACATAGTATTAGGTTTTGTTCATCAAAGGAAAATCAAGATTATTAGATATTTTTTAAAGTCAATTTTATATGAAAAAGATAAATATATTATTGATACTATAAAAAATGGGTTAATCAAAATCTGTTATTGACCTAAGTTTATTTTAACTGAGTAAAAAATTGCTAATACCATCACGATTACTTAAAAAGATTGCTTGTATGCATTGTATACTTAATTACTATTAAAAAAAAATTCACATAGCTGTGATTATAATAATTTTTGTTTCATACATATTGATTACATAATGTTTTTTTTTTTAAATCAAAATTTCAGTAGTTAATAATTTCTTAATTGCTTAGCACCTATGAATACATAATATCTGACAAATAACTTAAGAAATTTAATTTTTATTTTGTTTTAATTCGTCTTACCTTCACATTCGTACCAAAATCGTAAATCAATTTCTGGGAGTTCCTCACACTTCACAATTGAAGGAGATTGTTTTTCAGGTATAATAAAAACGTTGGGAGATATAGCAGTGATGTTATCTCCATTATCACAAAGGATTCTGGCTAATGAGCTTTGTTTGATTTGAGTTAACTGTGCAGGTTTGAAGGTAGATGGATTTTCATACCAAAATCTGTAAAATATTTTAACAATTAATAAATTTATTACAGATTATATTTATTCCATTCTAGGTCAACCAAAAACATGAACTGTTTTATTAATTTCAATTTAAATATAATCAAATAAATGTTTTTTATTGGACTTTAAACCCTTTTGTTCCACAACTAAGGCAGGATGGTCAGTTTCAAACTTTCCTATCTAGCCTAAATTGAAAGATCAAGATTTTCTCTGTGAGTCTGTTATATAAATATAATTTAAATCTCAAATCTGATATCAAACTGGAACTGCTTTTGACTTAAGAATGCTCCACAAAGATAATTGGTTACCACAGCCTCCAAAGTCTTTTATTTTAAAGAAAAGTAATTGCAATACCTATCTCCATCTCTTATTCTCCTAAATTGTTCAGTCAGAATGCATCGGAAAGTAGGGCCCATTTTTGCTCCTTCAATCTGGTCTTCAAGAATGCCTCCAACGAAAATATCAATGTTTCCTTCATAAAATTCAAAATAAAATTAGAACATGTATTTGAAATATAATTGTATTTCCATAAAATGAAGTATATATAAATGTATTTATTAACATACTTGGATCTCCGTACAACTTTTGTAATTTATCTCTTATTTCTGGATCTGAAATTTCAGTTTTCAAATCATCAAATGTTTCTGCTGAAGATAAATTGCATAGTTTTCTGTATTCATTGTAAAAAGGTATGCCATGATCTCTACTTCGTTGTACATTCATGGAAGCCAGATCTAAAGCTACAGCATGGAATGATGTAAACAAATGGTCAGTTAGTTCATTGTTTAGATTTTGATTTGGCATTTTCTTTTTTGCTGGAGTAGCCCACATTCCCCTCATAAGGGCATCAACACCTCCTTCTTCAATTATCCTCCAAGGTGAAAAGAATGCTTTTCCCAAGGGTAGATCACCCTTAAAAAAAAAAATAATATTAATACAGAATATCTATGAATAATATATTTATTTGCAAACATCATCGATATATATAAATATAAAATTACTTCTGGAATTGTTTTGAAGTCGCTATCAAGACGGGCAAGAACTGGATTTATTAATGTATGACCAAATCTCAAAGCTGAAGTTGCAAATTCATTTGAAATACCTGGATCAATATTTGGATTATATCCCTGGTAACTACCAATTAGTTCCAATCCTGAAAACAAATTAACATTGTGTTATTCATACTTTTTTAAAATATACTTTGTTTAATTTATGCTCATAATTTTACCCTTGTCTCCTAAAACATTAGGAAGCCAATGTTTGAATGTGATGTGCTGCATTTCAGCTCCAACAACTTTACGAGCTTCATGAAATATGGTATTTCCTGTCCAGTGAGGATTAATTTTTTTTAGCTCTCTTGCAATTCTGTTATGTTCTCGTAACCAGATTGTATGCATCGCCACTAAACTAATCTAAGGAGTAAAATATATCAATAATTATGAGATCGTCCATTGCATGAATAATGCATTATTATTGATGAATCTGTTTTAATCAATTTGGACATTGAACGTTTTTGTATTTATTTTAAATATTCTTGAATAAAAAATATTTTTTTATTTTGTTTTTTTAACTTGGTATTTATTACCTTTTTATTCATTATTATGAATATTATTAACTTAGTAAAACCTTTCATTCACTGGTGTTGAAAACTAAGAAATTAGATCACTAAAATAAAGGACATTTGCATGAGAATGACTTGGGGGCACCTCCTGCTTTTATGATATGAACATAACCAGCTTAACTTCTAAACTTGTTTTAAATTAATTTTATACATATATGATTTAATAAAAATCAAGAGAAGGCTCTGGATAGATCAAAAGTTTGGTTGTGGTTTCAACCACTAAGATCCGAAGGAATTATCTATTCCCACCTAGAATCTTTCATGGACCATATAAACCTTTTCAGGCTCACAGTCCAGTTATTTAATTACATTAGTGAGGTTAAATAGTTTTGTGTTAATAGTCTCTATGAATTTCATGATAACAAAGTGAGGATTTTAATAATGTTTATATTACATAAAATGCATCTGGTAAGTACTTTATTTCAATATAATGATTTAAATTGCAATTCATTGATAACAATCATCAATAAATTGTTATATTTAATTGTTGGTGTTTTTCAATCAAAACTGCCTAAAAAATGTAAAATATAATGTATTACCCAAGGATTGCTTTAAAAAAATACTGACCTGTTCGTTTACTCTTATATCTCCAGCTAAGAAACAACCTGCTTCGTGTTCAGTAGGGTCCCTTCTGCAATCCACCTCTTGGAATCCTGCCAGTGGTAACAATGGCTTTCCTGATTCAGTGTCTATTCCAACACGGAGGAGACCAAGATCTTGTGTATAGTCTCTTAACAGAATACTCCTGTTGTCATGAAATCCATACACCTTAAAACATAAAATTTAATGACAATTGTGAGCATACCACTATTATGATGAATCAAAAACAATTAAATTACCTGAGTAGCATCAATGAATGCTGTCAGCTGATTGATCTGCTCTCTTTGTTGAATCTTATTAAAAAATATAGAAGTCATTCCTGAACCACATATTGCACTAGACCGAATGAAATCCATGCATCTTCTGTTCTTTATTCGTGGATCCTCATGGTCAGCCTATAAAGCATGACAAACTAGTTATAAAAGATAATTTAAAATATGTTTTATAATTCAAAAATTTATATTTTTTGAACTAATGTGTATTTACAAATCCTTTTGAACAGAAAAATCAGCAATTTTCATTATTCAATAACTGTACCTATATTTAATTATTTAATATTTAAAACATTAAGTAACAATGTGAAACTAAATTGCATGCATCTTTCTCAAATTGTTTATTTCTCTCATTAAGATTATTATTATAATTTTATATATACCATATTGTAGTGATATACCAGGTATAACTTTCACTTTTAACTAATAATATAGTAAGAATTTGTTAAATTTAATATTATAATAGTTTAGAGTATAGAGAATTGGCAAAAAAAATTAGAGTATCAAAAGTTAAGAAATAATCCGCTAGCTCTCTTGGTTTCAAGGACAGTGACAAATCAGCTAAGATTCATGGATTATTGTGCTCAGAATAAACAGGCACACGAAGACCTATATTTCTTTTCCTGGAACAGATTGTCCATGGACCAAGCCTCTGGACAGCTCCTGACATCTTGGAAAACCACATCGCAATTCCTGAAGTATACGGGGTAGGGTCATCACTCCTTCTTCCGATCCAAGTTGCTTGCAGTAGTCTGACAAACCTCACATACCTGAGGAGGGGAGGGGGTTGGGAATGCAAATTTACTAAAATATTTAATTTTAATTTTGATTATTGTCTGTGGAATCTCGTGATCGGGTTTCGAATCCACAACCTTTGGGTTGGTAGGGTAGTTCATTTTTACTTGTGCTTAAACAACTAATCATTTCCATCAAATATCGTTATCAAACCTACATTATTAAACAAAAAGCTGCTCAAACACTTTCTCCTCACTAACCTCCATTGGGAAACATGGTGGTGTAGCTTTACATGTCTTTTTACAGTCTACTCCTTCCCAACTTTCTGCGGTTGTTGAGGGTATAGCATGGTCTAAATCATGATCCAGAAACTGACCCCACTGCATAACCATGTGTGAAATTTTATCATCCTGGGTAATGTTTTCTGTCCTGATTAATTCCAGTGAAACTCTCCTAGCATTGGGCAACAAAAAACCATTATAAAGACGGCTTTTATCCCAACCTATAAAATGGAATAGTTTTGTACCAAAAACGTTATAAATAATTAAAGCAGTAGTTTTATTTTAGCTGTGGTGTATTTTACATACCTACAGGATTGCTAAAACCATTTTCATATATAGGTTTTATTAATCTTCTGAATGCAGTATGAGCAGCTCCCCAATGAGGATGTTGTAAGTTGTTGCATGTACCATCTATAGTACGATACTTATTATGAAAACATAAATCACTGCAATTAGCTTTTAGCTGTTCCATACAGCCTGACATCCTTGCAATTAGCTGTAGTTGATCAGAAGTAAGAACATCTTCATAGTGGAAATCTTATAAGAAAATCTTAATTAATAAATTGTAAATTTTACAATCATTCTATGGAAAAATATTTGAAGAATTAAGTTTTACTTATCCATTTATTTTTACCTTCAGTGTTATTAAAATGTATCCCACTAGCTATATGTTTTCTAATATTAATTAATGTATTTTCATATATATCTGCAGCTCTTACAACTGATCTTGCTTTTTCATCAGGATATCTGTATCAATTAAATTATTACTAAACGAAAATCAAATTAAGGTCACAAGAAATACAATTTGTAAAAATAGTGTTTTTGACCTTAAGACCCTCATTAAGAAGCTTGGAGATTGTGGAGCTTTCTTTGAAAAAAAAGCTTCAATTGTTGAATTAACTGCTTTGTCAACAGTTTTCTTAGCATCTTCCAAAGCTGATAACACTAAATTGTCCCCAACTCCAGATGAACTGTCTGTGAAATAATAAAAAATATCATTTATGAAAAAAATAATGCTACAAATATATTAAAATTACTGTTATATCTGATTTGTTATTTTTAAAATCATGTTATTAGGCTACTAATTTGAAGGCTATTGTGTGTATATATGAAATCTGTCACAGAAATAAATATAGTAACACAAATCGAAAAATTAATATACACTTTTTTTAGTAAAATTATTTTCCATACTATATTTTTATGAATAAAATTTTTTATAAATGTCTGTATCACTGAAGGTTTGGTTACACTTAATCATGCATAAAAAAATCTGCTATTTGTGGTGAAAAAAAAGCTAAAATGATATTTTGCTAATTTATTCTCTGTATAAATGAACCTAAGATTTAAAAAAAAGCACAGAGCTCAGGTTTTACTTCTAGAATTATTCTGTCACAAAACATTAGTAAAAAACAATAATGTTTTCTGAGAATGAGTTTTAATGATATATGAATCACTGTACTCATACTGTACATGAAGTGCCTATTTTCAAATATGTTACAGGCAGAATTCAAATTAGGAAGCCAGGTTTTAAAAAAAAAATGTTTTATTAGCATAGGATGCATTGTCAGACATAGGAACAGGATATCACTAAGTGATAAGTTAATACAGAACAAATGAGGATCGATTCCTGTAACATTTGCTGCTGTGATCTGGAGGATGTTGTTCATTGATTCCATAAGAACTTATTGTACCTATACTTCATTATACCTTTCTTTTATTTTGGTCAAATATTATTCGCAATATATTTCCACAAGACAACTCAGAAATAACTTTTCTAACATACTATACTATAAAACTTTTGTTTCACACAATGAAAATAGCAAACTACATCCAAAAAACAAATTAAAAAAATATATTACATCTTAAAGCGCAGAAAGTTTTAAATGTTTTTTAAACTAATCCCTTTGCAATGAACTGCATAATTTTGATAAACAGGTATATTACCTTCAACAGTAAGAGTTGCATGAACAGAAATTTCTCCATGTTCATTAGTTGCAGTGCACCTATAAATACCGCCATCAGATGGTGTAATATTGTAAATACGAATACTTCCAACTGGAAACACCCTGATTCAAAATAAATAACAGTTTGAAAATGTTTATATAGAAGATAATGTATGTTCTTTTCTAATTTAAAAATAAATTACCTATGTGTTTCATCGAGTTGAATGGGATCACCATTTTTAAACCATTGGATGGCGGGATAAGGTTCACCTTGAGCTTTGCATGGAAGCTCAACTGAAGTCCCCAAATGGGCTGCAATAGGATAGGGAGTATGAACAAAGGTTGGGGGTCTAGGTCCATCAAGTCTTACTCTCACTTCACCATTCCCTTCTGCTGTTCCTAAAATACTCTGAGCTAAGCAGGTATAAAGGCCACCATCACTTGAAGAAGCTTTTATAATTGTAACTTCTGTAACTTAAACAAGAGATATAAGGCTTTAATTAATATTTTATTAGATATTAATTTTTTTAATAAACAAAATAATAAATTATGCCAGATTATAGGTAATAAATAGTCAGGGCACAGTCATTTTAAGATTTTTATTGTTGCCGAAATTTCAACCCAGCCTTTTGGGTCATCATCAGGGTATGTTTCCAGCACTAAATGTGCTTAAATACTACTGTCATTATTTCAACACCAAGTCTAAAAATAAAGTTTGGGTTGAAACATTGGCAATAATAAAAATCTTAAAATGACTGCGTTCTGACTATTTATCTCCCATGATATATAGAATGGTCGACTAACTACTCTAATCTAATTGATAGTAAGACTAACAAGCTATTCAAATTAATTTTAAGTATAGTTACTTACAATGCTCATTAAATGTTATCCTGTCATCAGGTTGAAGACTTGTACCATTTTTGAACCATGAGATTGTTGGCTCTGGTTGACCTCTAGCTTCACATCTTAATTTAATCGTTTCTCCACTTTTAACATATTGACTTTCTGGATGTATAGTCAGTCTTGGAGGAGCTTAACATAAATAAAACATAAAATTTATCCAAAAACATATTCAGAGTACAGAAAAAAGAGCTTTAATCTTGTAAATATTCATTGAAAGTAGCAATTTATGAATGAAATAACATTTAAAAAATTATAATTCAAAAGACACCCACTACATTTTACTTTTTTTTTTCTTTGTTTGAAGCAAAAGTGGCATTTTATGCTGTGACCTCATTAGCCTACTGTGTGCCATAGTTAAAGCTATTTTAGTTTAAACATAACTTTCGCTACATCCATGAATTTCAGAAGGTTTGTGGGATTGACAAGCTCACAGCAATTAGGATCTACTTTATAGTCTTTTCCAAACAACTCCAATCTTAGTCTAGTGAAGCTGCACATAGCAGAACCAACACAAATTGATTCCATCAGCCTGAGTTTAAACATATCGCAATTCAGTTTAAAATCATTGCAATTCTACTTAGGGATACCCTGTGCAACAACGTGTTTCTTCAGTCTCAAGAATTGTCCCTCAAGTAACATCTTCAACTGATGTTTCTCCTTGTCGCGCCATTATTGAGTGACTTTAACATGAATAATCCGCCTTTTGGTATAACTTACGACTTCAACCATGTACTGGCTTAGGGTCATTAGAGTATTACCCGGACATCACCTGGCTAACTTATCAGTCTCTTTGTTCCCAGGGCCTAACTTTCTATTCAACAGTTTCCTTTATTGTTTGTAGCCTAGCTACAAGGGTATTGTTCAGTATTTTCATATAGCAATGTGATGGTAGTGGCAGATTGCCAGCAATTCAGATTGAAATACTGAAACAAATCTGCCTTGCAGAGATATTTTCTTTGAAAAAAACTTCATTCAGTCAAGACCAAAGGCAAACACTATAGAAAAACTTATTGTGTTATCTCCTTCAAACATCCTAGGGTAAAATGGTATCAGTTATTTCAGAAACAAAACATGTATAATTTTTAGTAATTTTGAGATGAAATTTGTTCCGGGTACATTGTTCATAGACATATTTTTTTAATGCAAAAAACACATTACATAAATAGTGAAAAGATTGATTCATTACAGAAAATATTTTTGTAGACTTATATTTGTGAACATTTTAGTGTAAAATATTTTTTATGTAGTTTTAAAAATGCCACGTGAGTAATTTCGGAAATAAATAATTCAGTTATAATAATATCATATTGGTATACTAATTTTGATATTGGTATAATAATATCATCATTTTCAATATTGATGTCAGTATTCTATGTTTTCAGTATTTGCATTTGTTCCTTAAAAAAAGTTATGAATTTAAACTAATACAATTTAAATTTATTTCTTATCCTTTTATTATAAACATTTCTTTGCCCAATATTATCCTTTTTATTATATTATAATTTTATTACTACAAATTCTATTTATTGTTGTTGTTATATAAAATGCTCAATCTTTACTTAATCAGCTATTCAATTATACAATTATTGTAACAATGTGTCAGTCATTAATTTTATACTATTTCAATTCAGTTAATTAATTTAGTTAAATTCTACTAAATAAGTGAATTTAGTTTATTTATGGGTATTAGGTTATAGCATTTAAGCATAAAGATGGATTTGACCCTTCAAGATTATCCCTTGTTATAAAGAGTAAACCATTTCCCATTTCTAAATTTCTCAAATGTTGAGAATTCATCCTTAAATTTAAGACCAAATCTAAAATTTTTACCAGTTACAGTTAATTGAGCTTTCGCTTCTAGTCTTCCGTTTGAAGTTTCTACAATACAGGTGTAGCTTGCAGCATCTTCAGGTGTTACAGATTGTAGGGTGAGGGTCCCTTCAGCAGAAACAGGCAGTGATACTGGTGTACCGTTTCGAACCCAAGTAGCTTGACCACCACTCGCAGAGCATTCTAGTTGAACAGTGTCACCTTCCCTTGCCATTTGGTCTTTTGGTTTACGGTTCCATTCAGCTACACCTTTAAAAATTTAGCATTTCATTAATATAATTAGGTTTAAAACAAAAACTCAAAGAATAACAAATGTTTCTTTTAATCATTAATTCATTTAACTGATAATTATTGTTATTATTGCTCATGAGTAATAGTTTTAGTTAATAAAGATATTTTAATAATAATATATATCTTTTTAATCGTTTAAGATAAATGTTTGATTTATTCTAGTAATAAGGTCAATTGAGAACTAAAATATTTCTGTAAAAAATAATTTAAGATAAATTGTCTAAAACTCAATTATTAAAAGTAAAAAAAAAATTAATGTTTTAGAATAACAAAAGAAATAATTCTTTTACTTCTCATTATTGAAATCAATGTAATAAGAATAGTAACAGTAGAGTATGAGATGAAGAGAAAGGATATGAGTTAAGAAGAAGGGGAAGGGTATTATCAGAACCGAACAATAATTTAAATTGAGAAAGAATATAAGAAAGAACCTATGATAATAACTGAAAAAAAAATAGAGCCACAACACAAAGGTGCCAAAAATGAAGTCAAGGAAAGTTTATTCATAACGTTCATTACATTAGAATTATACTCAATAGGAGGTACTGTAGGTATCATGCCTGTAGTAAAAGTGAGAAAAAAAAGCTAAGCTGTGTGCTTTAGACCACATGATAGAAGTGAAAACATCAACAAGGCCAGATTAATAATTAGAAAGATAAATTTTAAATAATAGCTTATTATAGAGAGGATAAAAAGCTGAACATTTCCCTCGCTTACAGTGTACAGCTCCGATTTTTAATTTCTAAAATATTTTAATCTGTATCTTCAATAAAACTTGTTATAATTTCCTTTTCCGACACAGCATCCCATTAAGACACAATTTTGAATTACAGCCTATTACAGAGAGGATGAAATACTGAACAATTTCCTCACTTAAAGTATGCAGGCTCGATTTTTAATTTCTGAAATATTTTACTCCATATGTAAAAACATTTCAATTAGTCCACCATAACCAACATTACCCGAGCTTTAACACTTCGGAAATCTAATGATCAATCTAATTCACTCTCCACAAAAAAGTGCAAAAAACGCTTAAAGATGTTTTCACTTCAATAAGAAAGATTTAAGCAATTGTAGAAGAATAATAAAAAGAAAATTTCAGGAACATTATGTTTTAAAACATGTTTCTTAATTTAGGGATAGTATTGAGGCTTGGATGGGTAGTATTGCTGGCTTGGCTTTTATAGTCCTGGATCCAGGGCCCAAAAATCAACCTGATTGTAGGCAAAGGTTTGACTGTAAATTACGAAAGTGTATGCTATTCTAAGTAAAAAGAACCTTGTCTGCCCTTCCAGAGCCTCTACTTTAAAAAAATGGCGCCTGATTTAAAGAATATTAGGCCAATAATATGAGGATTGAAACGGGAAATCCATTGCGAAAAATGTGAGAAAAGTTTTTATTTTTTTTAACTTGTATATATGGTTTTAAACATGTAAACAAAAATTGCTAACGCTGGCCCCCAGTCAGATTCTATTATTATTTTTTGGTTTTTTCTCCTATAACTCCTAAACGTTGCATCAAAGCGAAAAAAATATTCGTCAATAAATTAAAGAACGTCAAATTTTGCGTCAAACGAGTACATAAACTTTATAATTTGGTTACGCGGTAAGGTATAAAACCACGGTCAACCAACGCTGATCTTTACGAAATTTGTCAAAAACTGGGACAAATTACTATAAATGGCCTTTTAACTTTGAAATAAGTTCCCTAAAAAGAAAAGCCCTTATAATCAAAGTTGTAGAGCATCAACGTTTGCGTCAACTGAGTACTGACATTTTTAAGGTAGGCCAATTATATACCTGGAATCGTGATTCGTTATTCCTTTATAAAATTCGGTATCTTTCGACACCAAAATCCTTTGCTGTTGAGAGGTGGACAAGTGGCTTATACTGCATGTAACAGACTCTAAACAAAAATAACTCAGTAGAATGTACACCCATACTGTTGAAATATCGAAAATTACGTTTACTTTCATTACCAATTTCTAACCATCGGGAGATTACTGATTTTGTTCTCAGTAAGTGACCTACATTAAATTAGTTGGTAATCAGTTGACGCAAAATTTGTTACTCTACAACTTTGATTCTATGGATGTTTCCTCTTAGGGAACTCATTTCCAAGTTATAAGGCCATTTATAGTTATTTGTCTCAGTTTTTGACAAATTTTGTAAAAATCAGCGTTGGTTGAGCGTGGCTTTATACCTTACCGCGTGACCAAATTCCAAAGTTTATGTACTCGTTTGACGCAAAATTTGACGTTCTTTAATTGATTTAAAAATAAATTTTTCGCTTGGATGCATAGTTTAGGAGTTATAGGTGAAAAAAACAAAAAATAATGATAAAATCTGACTTTTTTGGCTGTAAAGTTTTTCCTTTGAGGCCCGCATTAGCAATTTTGTGTTCTACATGACTGTGTAGATATATATACAAGTTTAAAAAATAAAAACTCTTCTTACATTTATCGCAATGGATTTCCAGTTTCGATCCTCAAATTATTGGCCTAATATTCTTTAAATCAATCGCCATTTTTGAAAGAAACGGCAGACAAGGTTCTTTTTACTCAGAATAACATTCATTTTCGTAATTTACAATCACCTTCTGCGATCAGGTCGATTTTTGGGCCTGGCTCCAAAGCTATTAGGAGAGTGTTTCCATTAATCTAAGAATATATATTTTTTAAGGAACTAATATTATATACCTGACGCTTCATGAAAGAGAGTTTTAGCAGCTTGAGACTTTGTAACACCATTAGGTGACTTGACCATACATTCATAGACACCCATGTCCGAATCAGTCATTGATGAAACTATGAGTGTACCGTCCTCTTTTATTGAGTACTTTGGATTAGATGTGTCAATTTCATTGCTGCAAAATTTATTACATTAAATATTAATAATCACTATAAATAATTTTTTAGATGATGAATAATTTATACGTATATATTATAAATTCAAAAATATCATTTTTTTTTTCATTCTAACCTAAAATGCTTCTTCAACCATAATGTATTGCAAAAATTGTTTATTAGTCTCTTATATTACAGTAATAAAAAAAAAAGACATCTTTCTTAAAAATTAAAAAAAATAAAATGATACAATAATGTTTGTATCTATTTATAAGTAATTTGTATAAATGAATGCTTTTTACAATTTTCAGCAAATAACATGAAAAAGGATAGTTAAAAAGGCCACATATAAAAGTTCATTCGGATGGCAGATATAGGAAGGAGTAGGAACAAGTTATGGGAAATTAAAATTAATTTTAATTTCTCAAACCAAGATTTCCTGACTAATTGAAAAAACATTTCAGATTAATAATTAATATTTTATAAGGTATGACAGCAGAATCATAATTCAAGTGAAATAATTGCTGTTCATATTAAAATCTTATGAGAATAAAGAAAATATTCTCTAAAATGTCAAAATAAATGTGTAATAATGACAAAAATTAAAAATTACCAAATTCACCTATATTATATTTTTTTATTTAGTCTCTAAATTTCTACCGCCAATTAATCATATTTTTTTCAAAAATTTTTCATACCTCGTCTTCCTTTCAGATTCCTTTAAAAATCTTTTGGCAATGCACTAAGCAGAAGAAGAGCTATTTCCATTTCTCGACAGAACTCTCTATAAGCTTGAAAGTGAAGATAGTCCGCGACTTACGCGAAGATAGTCGCAATTGAAAATAAAATCGTTTTCACCATAATAAACCTCGTTTACTTCGACCAGACCTGCTGACTTGTCAATTACTTCAAATAAATCTTTCTTGCTGATAAAACCATAATGAACCTGCATCGTTCTCTTAATATCATCCAAACTGCTCCAGCAGTTGACCCTCTTTTAGCAGCATCTTGAAATATTCTGTTTATCTGTTTACTATATATTCGTTTAGCCATATAATAGATACTGATCCTTGTTTTCTTTTCCGAGATTTTAGCACTTTTTTTCTCGTTCGTTTGGTGTATTTTTTCCAATTTTTGGATTCAATTTCTCAATTTCCATCATCTTAAAATCAAATACTAACAATCAATTCCGGTTACCTAAAAGAACTTGTGCCTTCGCACTTTCCATCTTTCTTTGTGCAGAGAGAATATGCATCCAATATTTAAATTTCTATTTTTTTATGATATGGTCCAACTTCCGAACAAAATAAAGGAAATAAAAATTAATTTTTTTTATTAGTGATATATGAGTTTTACTAATCAACCCGGTAACTATTCATTATATGTAGTTCAGATTAGGTATATATTATTTTGGTTTATAAAACAGGTATTAATATGACTCATTTCCGGGGATGTATATACAATTTAAATTACCTCTAAAAATCAGTAATTATACTAAACAAAGTGTTAAATAGCAAGCGGTAAATAAAAAAATCGAGATATTCAGCAAAGTATTTTTGAATTAAGTTTTATTGTTGTAATTATATCATTTTTACTTATTATATTTTTTTTTGTTAAAAAAATTGACTTTAATGGTGTTTTTTATTGCCTATGGCAATTATTTTTTTCATGTTTTATCATTTTCTGACTATCCAGCTTTAATAAAAGACTAACTATGACGAAATTGAGCCAAATGCTGATTCTTAGTGACCAAAAAACTAACTAAAGTCAAAGTCGTTAGTCCGCCATGCTTGGACGCCATTCTGCGGCGGTAAGTTCACTTTTTTTTGTGGGAACATTGGCTTTTTTTTTAATAAATAGCTACAAGGAACACAACGATATGCAATTTATAGGGATGTGGGGGGAGGATGGTGCACAATAGGGGGGTCTGGCCCACCGTGTATATGACTAAGGTGGGTAACCACGGCATCATGCGGCCTCCGTGGCGTAGTTGCAGCTTTCAAACGTTATTGTGCCAAAGTTATTAATATAGTTCCAGAATTAATGAATATTTACTCATTCAAGTAACGACAATCCGGAAATTCATAGAATTAAGTTGAATGAATGAATGAATGAAAGGATGAGATGAAGCTATTCACGAAGTTTCAGGCGGATGTTAATAAATTGCTAAAAAGAGGTCTGTACCGCGGACTATTATCTGTAAAAGTATTATTGTTCGTGTAATTACATTTAATATGATTTTAAGTATCACTTAAGCGCCATTTCATATAGGCAGTTCATATGTTTGTTTACCTGCCAAAATAATAATCGTTATATATATTTTAAAAAAAGGTTTCGGGCTGAAGCCCACTCCAAAAAAAAAAAATTAAATCCTGGATCCGTTAGTATCTAGATGGCATATTAATTTCATCATATTCCATCCACTAATTGCGCCTACGGTGTCGTATTTTCCTAACACTCCAATGTTCCAAAACGGCTCCATCAATTTGGCACAAAATTATTGAAAATTTTGGGATTTATCTACAAGTTAACTTTGTGTTAACTACAAAGTTAACAAGTACTAACTTCACCATATTCCATCTGCTACATTATTTTATGAATTTCCTTCAAAAGCTTATCTTTATTTCATATCGATTGAAAATAGCTAAAAACTCCTAAGAGATACTATAACTTAGTATATGCAGATCAAATAAATCCTGTTATTTATCAGCGTGAGACCCAGTGGGCTGGATCCTAGGTGATTAATGGCTTCAGTTCTGACCCACTGGAACCAACAGATGGTGATGTTTGTTTTTGACGACGCTTTCACCAAACCTATTGTGAAAATGATATTTGAACGTATTCACAAGGTAATCATTATTGTATCAGATTGATTTGATGAGATAGATATTTGTGAACAGAAATTACAAGTTCAAAAATGATTTGATAATTTGTTCTTCAAATTTCATTTTAAATGTTTGTTGCTTTTATTAAATATTTTAGAGTAGAACACTTTCATTAGTGCAAAGGAGTTAGATTTACAGGCTGTCGCAGGCATCATAAGTGATAAGTATTTGCATCAGTGCGTATTCTGAGTATCTGCGTCATCACATGAGGAAGGGTGAGTGACGAAGTTAATGAAAAAAAATTAATCAGTTACATTAATCAATGCTGTTCATGATAAAACAAAATTTTATTTATTTATTTATAACACTGCGTGCTTTTGCAACCACGTACGTACGGGTCATTTTAGCCCACATATAAATCCAAATACAAAAATACATATTTACAAAATGAATATTAAATATTAATAACAATTATAATCCTAATCCTTATTTTAAGATGTGTATTATTATCTTCGGAGTATATTGGGACTTAAATCTGTACGATTTACGATCCCAACGAAATAGGACCTAATGAAACGATATTGCGGAACAGCAGCCTTGGACACTACATGGGTGCCAGTTATTCTTATTCGGTTCATAAAGAATAAGATATATTCAGACACTAGCGGATTCAGCGCTTCTCCCCCTCCTGGAGCTTGAAAACAAATTGCAAAAAACAGCTATTTGAAGAATGTAATATAAAATAAAATTATTATCCCGACCAGCACTAACAAATTCTGCCAGGGAGCGCAACCTCTCTTCCTTCGATGGTGGAAAAAAATTCTGAAAAGAAAGTTCCAAAAAGCAGCCATTTAATGAAAAGAGAAATATAGGGAAATTCATCCTCATGGAAGAATTTCCTAATGTAATATAAAAAAAAATTATTATCGTGACCGGCACTAGTGATTTCTGCCAGAGGGCGCACCTTCTTCTGGATGGTAGAAATATAATTCCGACAAAAAAAAAGTTCCAAAAACAGCTATTTAAAGAAAAGAGAATATTCATCTTCATAGACGAATTTCCTAATGTAATATAAAGAATAATTATCGTGACCAGCATTCTCTCTCCTCTGGATAGTAGGAGGAATGTTCCAAAAAGCAGCTATCTAAAGAAAAGAGAAATATAAGGAATATATTGAAATATATCTAATTCATCCTCTAAGAAGAATTTTCTAAAGTGATCATCATCATCTCGAGCTCGAAAATACATTACTTGGATCTTGGCTGCTTCAAGAGTGTTCCTCCACGTTCCTCTTTCCTGAGCAGCCGTCTACCAGTTCTTGATTTCAAGGATTCTGGCATCAGCACTTACCTGAAACTTTCTATCTCAGTTTCGAATTACCCACTTTTCCGAGATCTCGTCGATCCGTAAAACGTGGTCGCCCATCTCAAACTTGCTATTCAGATATATTTCACCACATCCTGCTCCTTCCATAAGTTGGATAGTTCTTGGTTGCCTCTAATTCTCCATTCATCATTCTCCTTAACTCGGCCAAATATCTTCCAAAGGATCTTCCTTTCGAAAACTAATATTTTACTCTCACTGGCCTTCGTCAGTGTCACGTATGTCAAAACAAAGCATCCAAGTGAACTTAGTATTTTGGCACGTAACGACCATTTGAAATTTTCTTGAATAAAACTTTGTATCGTTTATGAAAATGTACAATTAATTTAAAAAAAATTTGACTTATTAAATTAAATGCTTTATAATTTAATTGTTAAATTAATAAATAGATGTACGTAATATAATTTTCGGAGAGACAATAACGGTGAAAATATAAGTACGTATGAAAATATACATTCCATTATTTAGGATACTGTTAGCGGTTCCTGTTATGGGATTGTGAGGAATTAAAACAAACAACAGTCGAGATTCAATGTTTTTGTTAATTTCAATAAATAAATATTTAATTTAAAAAATAAATATTTTTTGTTAATTTCAATAAATAAATGTGACCATGTAAAGTTTCATAACATTTTTTTTTTTCGTCTAAGAAGTTCACTTAATTTTTCGTTCATGATTTACTGCATCTGCGATCCTCATTTCGGAGTCACTAGAGAAAACCTGCTGCAGAGACACAAACATCCACAGCTAAGGAGTTTGCGCTGAATCCGAAGTGAGCTCACCCTGCGGCCAAACGTTCGCTGTTCCATTCTATTCGAAGTTTCACAGAATATCACCGTGTGTCGAATCACATCCGCTCACCAATCATTGTGTCTCAATTTGTGTCCGGCCTAAAGGACCTTAAGGACGCCCCCTAATGAACCGATTCAAGCCAAACCTGCTCATGCTTTATAAAATATTTACACTAATGAAATATGTATCTCATTTATACAATTAATAAATAAGAAATAATTAAGTAATTTTTCACAACAGTTCCTTTATCATTTGATTAGATTCTGATGACAAAGCATAGATATAGGAGTAGTATCCATAACGATCAGCATGCGGACTACCTAAATAATATGACATAGACAAAATGGAATGACTGATTGACAGATGTCAACATATCTGTAACTGATTGGCAGAAGATGCCGGTTCACTGGATATATACAGAGGAGCCATGGGGAGATAAAATTTGTCCTCTAATCGCCCTGGCTCCAGATCGACAGGCATCTCCAGCATATCAGTTTTATAGTAGCCTATTAAGTGTAAATATTTCATAATGGAGCCGGCTGATAAGACCACTTCCCATCGCAGGGCCGGGGCACATGGATGATGGATGTTTTCAATTTAGATGTCTGTCAGGGATCCCCTTCTCTTTAATATACGGACAGGAGAAGTCGTTGCCTCCGGGGGTATTTGTGACCGTAGAACCGACTTCAATTAAACGCTTAATTTATTTTATTTACTCATTTTTTATTATTTGTATTACTAGTCAATCTCCTCCTATCAAAGGGGTATAAAAGTAATGTCATCATTTAACATTCATTTTTCAGAAGTATAGTATTGAACCGCTGATCTTATTTTAAACCTAGTAAGTTGTTATTTAGTTTAATGTTATGTTATTTATTTAAACCTATTAAGTTTTATTATTTACACGTTTACTTAAGACGATCTAATTCGGCAGAAAATAAAATTTTTATTTCATTTTATTTGTATTTGTTTAGTGATAAGACTCCTGGCATTCTGGGAACAAGCCCTCATGAAGATCTATTATGTATATTGAAACATAGGCTAAAATAAATATTACACCTTAATTGTGTTTGATTGCTGACAGAACTCCCCGACCAACTATCCCTTCAATTATTTATATATAATTTTAAATAAATAATGGAAAGTATATTTTCATACGTATTTATATTGTCACCGTTATTTTGTCTTCGAAAATTATATTACGTACATCTATTTATTAATTCAATAATTAAATTATAGAGTATTTAATTTAATTTGTCAAAATTCCATTTTAATTATTTATAAATTTTCATAAACGATATAAAGTTTTTATTCAAGAAACTTTCTAATGGTCGTTATGTGTCAAAACACTAAGTTAGAAATAATGTACTTGAGAAAATTGTGGTAGATGTTTGTCATTTATTTATTTTTTTAACTAATTTTTTTATCAGTAAATTTGTCATTGTTTTAGTCCATTCATTCTACAAATAAATTTAAAAAAAAATACTGCAGAATCCTTTTGGAAATTAAATATCAGTTTCGAAAAATTGCGATTACAAAGAACCGAATGAAACTGGTGACCTCAATTCGTCTTATATATTTTCAATCGATAAATGGAAAGAAATTATAGCACTGTTTGTTTTCATGCTTAAGATTTATATTATTATTCTAGATTTTTTTTCATTACCTTTTAGTAAAGATGAAATTAATACAAAAAACAACACAAAACAATACAAAAATACAAAAAAAAAAAAAAAAAAAACCAACACAATCACAATTACGGACTCATAATTAATTTTTTGGGTGAATTACTTAAAATATGGATTATAAAATAAGATTTTAAGATCTATCTCTAGTTGGTTACCTGTTGAGCATCCAAGTGATTTCTGGTTGCGGCTCACCATCGACCCTGCAGGTGAACACCGCCGACCCTCCAAAGCTAACTTCGACATCGTGTGGGCCTTCGATAATGCGAGGTTCGTCTGCAACATTATTTCAGCTTCATCAACATTGGCCATAGCTTGTAACTAGCATTGCAGGATTTTGTAAAAGTAATAGAAAGTTCTTTTGGGAAGAGATTAAAGGACATAATCAGATCCCATGAAAATTGGCACTGGAAGGAGTAGCGGGTCTAGGATTTAATTTCGGGTGCTAAAACCAAAGTAAGGGGACTAACCAAATGAATATATCACCGAAGAAGTTTTTAAGGTCACAGATTAAAACTGATTTTTTAAAACACATTTAAAGGTAGTGAACATGTCTTAATTTTGTATTTGGCTCAAATAATCTACATAAAACAATGTAAAGTAATTTTTTTTTCAGCAGAAGTACCTGAAGATTAAGCACTCGATCCATGCTGAGTAAGCATCCTCGATGCTTACTCTACATTACACTCACACATAACATACCTCGTAATTCCAACATTTTAACAGCGACATATAAAGACTAAACAGCTATTTTTAAGACACAAAAATCTAACGGTTCACAGACCTACAAATTGTAGGCGAAAACAGTCATTAACAAAATTACATGAGATGTGCATTAACTTTCATTATGTTTATAATTGATAAAACATTAAATTCAATTTAATCTTATACTGGTTTATTCAATCAAAACAACATAAAGTAATATAGATAATTGACAATACACAAATAATATATATATGTAAACAAATTTTATAATTTATACCATTATCACATAAATTAAATTAAAATCCATTAATATCGATATCTGTAAATCACATTGAAACTTAATAGTGAAAATTAAGGGATGATTTCATAAACTGCCCAGTATGAAATTTGTAAACAACTCGTTTTTTTTTTATAAAAGAAATAAAGTATTCAAGTAATCCTTGTATATTTCCCAAATATATTTTTTGCTCATTCCTCAAATATTTTCGAGGAATGCCTGAACCACCCAAGCCAGTGTTCATCAAGAACCTTCCTGGCTTAGCAACATTCTAACATTGAAGAAATACATTTAGTCTTAAAGGAGAGTCAGAAGCAAAAATAATCTCATTGCAGCCAACAATTTTAGTCGAAACCTTTCCTAAACAACATATAAAATATTAGAGCTTGTAAAAAAAAATGAAGCAAGAAACTCATAATGAATCATATCAAGGGTGATTATTAAAAGGAAAAGCCGGGAATATAATAATCATTATAAATGACTTCTTAGCTGTCCCAATGATATCATATCAATCATATAGTACTGAAGAAAAGTGATCAAATAAACTCATAGTGAATTAGCTATAATTTATAAATTTATGAATATTGTTCAGTTGGAAGTTTCAATATAGATTTTCCGTATATTGGTCGTAAAAACGACTCAATTTCTCTGTGTGACGCTTTAAACTTATTTAAATATATTATCTCTTTATTATATAAAAAAGTTTATATTGGCCGTATCATATTTTATTTTACATTTACGAAACGAGACGGACCGTTATGAAGACAACACACTTCCTATTTCCCGAATTATTTCTCCCTTATCATGGATACAAATTGGCAATAATAATTATTATAATTATATAATAATATGAATTGGCAATAAGACGTGATGTATAATATAGATTTTTAAAGAAACTAAAATTTGGTCCGAATCGTGGTTTTGTTTCGTTTATTTTATATTAATAAAAATAATACAATCAGAACTACCGAATACATGTAAATTACAGTTACACAATAATGAACAACGAGTAATACTATTAAATGAACAGTTGTATAATTTATAAAAATGTGTTTGGTTCCCCTCTAATATGTTAATAAATATATATGATATATGAGAATATATTTGATAATAACGCAAAATAAGAAAGTTGCTATTCTGAAAAATCTCGAAATGTACACAAAACTTGTCATTCACTAACTTTTGAAGATTTGACGATAAAATAAGTAATATATATTTTTTAATAAAATTTAATATTTAACAAATAAATAAAAAATGAAAAGATAAAAACACGAGCCTTTTCTTTTTTCTCTCGAAATTAGTGAATTATGAGGATGGATATTCGGGAAACTTTAAAAGATAATGAGAAAAATAATATGATGAATTTGGTTGCCAATTTTGTCAGCTGTAATATTATATCACCATCGCTAGAAGGTCGTTTTCCTGACGCGTGAAATAGAGATTAAATTCAAATTATCAACTTGAAATACCCGGAGTATGGGGTACCTGACGGTAATTTTATGTTTTAGGACAGTAAATGAGTCTTCAATGAATGCGTTATAGATTAACATCACACTTAATATCTTCTACTATAATAAATACAATAAATAAAAACGAGACTAGAAGAAATAAGGGAATGACCTACTGACTAATCATATTATAATGATATATTTAAACAATTTATGAAACGGTGCATGCGATCTTGAAAATAGCTCGGGAGGCCACGTTGAATAATGAATACATTAACTGAACACGTTTATTATTGGTGACCTTTGGTGTAATATTAAAAAAAAAAAACATAAATCTAAAAAGTTTGTAGTTTTACATCTTGTTGTATTCATTCAAAATATACACCCTATTTTGCTTTCTAAGTTTTACTGTATATATTTTTAATCAACAGAATGTAATATTGTATAGATTTATTATATTCGAATACGCAAAATAGAACATGCCTGATCGCTTCTGCGTTTAAAAAATACATGTGAAAAAAAGTAAATAAAAATCTGGGGTCTACTTATGAAACATGCTTTCAATGGCTACTAAAAAAATAAAATTATTTTCATTGTAAGCCGAAATGATTGATAAGAGATGATTTTATTTTAAAACCCAAACGCTATTTTTTAACTTATTAAAAAAATATTATAAGAACTTATGTTATAAGAAAATATCATAGACACATCTCTATGATTTTTTTTCTTGTAATATATAAAAATTGTCGACAAATTTTACCAAAGCGTTCCTCAATATGTAGTATCAAGTTTCAAAAGTTTATTATAAACACCAGTGCTATTTTCAAAGAATTTAATTATTAAATGTACGATACGAATGACTGATATTTGGAACGGAAATATTATATCGTGGCCCAGCATCGGAGAACAGAAACTTTGACCAGCAAGATGTGAGCCATATTTCCTAATTCAGACATCCGCTGTTTCAACAAACTAATCTTCGCTTATTAGAGCTAATAACTACGATAAACAAGTTAATAGCACTAATGATAATGATTTAAGGCGGTTAGTGATAGCGGTTGAGCAGGTGAGCTGGTCACGACCGAGCTGGCAGGGCCATAAGTTAGCCCTTGTTCAAATATTTCTTATTGCGCAAGGCTCCTTCAGTATTGCGCTGGCTGCTATACTATCTTGCGCCGAGTTGTTGCTGGTCAGTTGCTACCGATCAACGAGGGGCAGGGTCTATTAGTCAATCGGCCGATCGGATACAGTTTTTAGATTTTGTCGCGTTTAGTTCCTATCAATTTTTTTACGAACCCAGTAATTGTGGTTGAGAAATACTTTGATCTCACTAGTTTCTATTAATCGATTAGGATGAAATGATGCTGTTTTATTCAGTTCCATGTGTATTTTACTTCTGTTCATTTTATATATTTTTTGTAAATATAGTGTGAATGTAATCTTACCTCCCTATAACTAATGTTCACGTGACAGGATGTAATATTATTCAATAAATAAAAATATTTAAGTAATAAAATTTAAAAAACCTAATACATCCAAAAAAGACAAACAGACCATGACCCAGCTAATTGATTATTAATAACAAAAATCTAGATTGATAAAATAAGAAACCTGAACGTTCAGTTTTAAACGTGGCCAGGTTATAGCTCACAGTATAGACCACTTTTTTTCTAAAATTATTAACACCCGTCGAAAAATTTCATGAATGGCTTCATATCATCGTAGCCTATACATTGTGGCCTACGAAAATGAGACGTTTTCTGATTAAATTAATGAGTAAACAATTACTCATGAATATCACACTTAATATCTTCTACTAAAGAGAATAAAGAAATAAAAATTACATTCAATGAAATAAGGGAATGACCTACTGACGAATTAAATTATAATGATTATTATGAAACGGTGCATGAATCTTGAAAATGGCTCGAGAGGCCACATTGAATAATGAATACATGAAGTGAAAACGTTTATTATTGGTGACCTTTGGCCTAATATTAAAAAAATTAATAAATAAATAAGAAAAATTGTAGTTTTACACCTTGTTTTACACATTCAAAGTAGACACTCTATTCTGCCTTCTAAGATTTACTTTATATTTTTATACTTAACAGAATATACCTATTCTCTTTTGAGTTTAAAAAATACATGCAAAAAAAGTAAAGAAAAATCAGGGGTCTACTTATGAAACATGCTTTCAATGGCTACTAAAGAAAAAAAAAAATCTTTTCACTGTTAACTTTACATTTATTATTTATTAGTTTTATTATTGATTTAGTAATACAATTTTAAAAACCTAATATATCCAGAAAAAGACAAACAGAATATGTCCCAGCTAATTGATTATTAACAACAAAAATCTAGGTTGATGAATTAAGAAAACCGGACGTCCAGTTTCAAACGTGGCCAGGTTATAGCTCGCAGTACAGACCACTTTTTCTAAAATTATTAACACCAGTCGAAAAAAATATTATATATATATATATATATATATATATATATATATATATAATGAAACCATTGTAAATTATTTATAAGGCATGTACTTTAGAAATCATAGTCATGCAGACATAGTGATGCTATATTTTTAGTGACGGTCAAGTAGAGTTGAGTTATGGCGTGGTTCGGTGAAGTGTCTTGGTTATGTATAATATTGTTCTTATAAGTATAATGTGTTAAGAATTACTATGTATTTCTCATTTCTCATCGATCCACATTGATAAATCAAATCAACACTACAGTCAATTCCAAGGCTTTTAATCAAAAACCTGAAATATAGTTGGGAATAATTAAAAAAACGTCTGTCAAGTAAGGTCAGTATAGCTTCCTCACCGTTTGCATTGGCT